ATGGATTCTCAATCAGTCAATGAGCTTGATGCACTTCCAGTGATCCATTAAGTCATTGATAGTGTTTTCAAGCCAGACTTTGACCTACTGTCTACGTGTGTCGATGTGAGCAATTATTTACACTAATTCAAAAAAAAACATGGCTCTTTTGATTGTTTTCTTTTCAAAAGAAAAAACATCTGTTTGTTAATGGTGGAAGAGATTGAATGACTTGTTTTTTAATACTTTAATTCTTGTTGCTGGGGCAGGAGATTAGAAGGTGGATTTGTTTGCATACACCCTTGAAGATCAGTAATGCTCTCTATAAGCATCAGCGTGTGGCAGACGGCAACCTTCTGTGTGTCCATGTGGTCTCATGGCTGAGTTTATTTCCTTTAATTTAATTACATTTTAGTACCCAGATGATATCCGATCCATTTTTATGAACAGGACATCAGTTGAAGGACATTTTATTTCCCCCTCCAGTGGAAAGAGGTTCACACATTCTGTGCTATTTTATGCTTTTTGTGAACATCAGGCACTGGGGGGTTTGCACATTAACCCAGACCCCCACAGTAAAGCCGGCCTGAAGCTGCTGCCAGGCTTTGGGAGGAAGCCACTGCGTTTCTGTTTGAGCCAACAGGATCTGAAGAGCAGTGACTGGTAGTTTTGATAGTCTGCAGATACACTTTTCAACTCTAGATGTAAGTAGAAAAAAAGATTCATTAATACTCAGTAGAGAAGAAAATGTCTGTGAGCTGAACTCTCACCGCCTCTGCTGCATCAGATTATATGGCAGCCACAGAAGTACAGATAAATCATCCGGGCTCTTAATCTGAACAAATGTAAGCTGGTGGGGCTTCAACCACAAATCCCTCTTTTAAAAGATAAAGGGAGGAAGATGCTGATTGCTTTTCACATTCATTTTTGCTCAAAGAAGCACCTCACATCAGCCGGAGTCATTGTCTGTGACTGGGTGTTGCTGCTGAAATGTTGGGCGTTGTTTTATTTTAGACTTAGACTCCACAAAGGAGCAATCAACACTTTTTGATACTAAAGTTCTTGTTTCCAGGTGTTTGATGTCTGACATCCTCGGGCCGGATGTTTGAAATCTTCATGAATCTCTATCAAAATAGCTCTGCCTTGTTGTTTTGTATCTAACTCGGAAGCATCTTTCTCCTGAAGTGGACATAGCAGACAGAACTGAACAAAAGAGAGGGACGATTTTCATCAGTTTGCTGCGCTTGGTACCAGAAAAACAATGTTTGCCAGCCGTGGTGGAGGAGGTAAAGGAGGGAAATACTCAGTGGAAGACCTCTATGGCATCAGTAAGAAGCCCAAGGCGTCGTCCTCCTCTGGGAGTATTGTGGCCAAATCTGGAGCCCGGAGCAGCAAGACCCCGGACCAGAGGAACGAGTCCGAGGCTCTGGCTTCTCAGATCCTGGAGGCGGCGCACAGGCTGGTGGAGCGCCGGCGCCTGGAGCTCTACCTGAGGGAGTGTGGCCTCTCGCTGTCCGAGTGCGAGGCCTCTCGCTCTGCCATGACATACAGGTGAGAGGGGAAGAGGCTCAAAGAAGCACAGGAAGTTATAAGGTAAACCAACAATGCAATTTCATTTTTAAGCATAAAAAAGAGGACAAAAGGATGTGAAAAAACGTTAGAACCCCAGACCCCCAGATGTGTGGAATTCTTTGCCGAATGATTTAAAGAACATTTTTATGTTCAAGAAAATGTATAAAGAAAGCGTAATTAGACAGTATGAAGTTGACTTTTGATTGTGTTCTGGTTTTATGTTTCAGTATTTGTAAGCAACTGTGACTGAAAGAATTTTATTTTACTTTTTTATGGTTATTTCAATTATTTTTTTTGTAATTTTTTTTTAAGAAGGGGCAGGTAAAATAAGATGTTCTTCTCCCTGCTCCTTTCCACCATGCACTATAAAAATAAAAATAAAAATAAACAATCAGTATAAGTGTACATGTTTTGTAAAGTGTATATGTTTTGTGTTAAAATAACTGCCATGTGTGGAATAAACAAATAAAATATATAACTAATGCATGAATGTTTGAAAAGGACTGCAATTGAAGGCAGTGAATGGAGGCATCAGTCCTGGGTGGAAAAAAAGGAAATATATTTGCAGTTTTTAATTTCTTTCCACCAGTGACCTAGAAAGAAATATCAAGCGTTTGATGAGATTTCAAAGCACAGCAGAGCTGAATAAATGTGGCTGGACTGCGGAAACATCTGCTTGTTTGGGGATCGACAATATTAATGCCAGATACGATGACTTATGTCATAATTTTAGCTCAACCATTGTCTAATTCTTCTCCAAAAGCGGCTTTACAAAGTCAACAGCAGTGGGGCATGTGTTTAGGGTTAATGATGCATGATTCTGCAGCAGGGGACACAGACTCTGTTGTTACAGTGTTTGTAACTTGAAGTGCTTATAGCTGAAGTATTTTCAGATGATATTTGGTTGCCATATATCCGTTTCCCCTGAAAAATGGAAATATTCAATATCAGAGGCTTATTTGTGAATATCATTCATAACTTATTAGCCTAGTAGTAAATATACAGTACATGTATGCATATATTTACCATCACAGTTCTCCTGTCACAAGGTGTCAGTTAATTGAATCTCATAGTCTCACACAGCCATTAATAGTCCAGCAGAGTTGCCTCTAGGTGGCAGCGTCTCTCTGGTGTGAAGACAAGACAACCCTGTGGCACAAAGACACAGAACCAGAGAAGGAAAAACATCATCTGCAGCAAAAAGAGGAACATTTGTACAAACAAGAGACATTGCTCATTGATTCTCTGATCTATTTGCAGAGTTTTCTATCAGCATACATTTGATAACTGATATTAATAAACTATAAAGCAGTTTAATAGTATCTTCCAGCTCTGCTTCTCCATCCCTTTAACTGTGACCCTCCTCTAACACTGCATGTCTGTAATGGCAGCAGCCTCTATACAGCTCTGAGCATGATGCATCACATTAAAACTCCCTCATGACTCAAAGTCATTACTTGTAATCAACACAACAGCTAACAATCTGTGCCGGCGTGCTGTCTAATTCATCGGATTCGGTGGATTCTTCTTCCGCTGGTCTTCAAATTTGGGAAATTGATATGGACACTTACAGATTATGAGGGCTGAAAACATAATCTTGTCATTCACAAAAAAAAAAATCCTAAAGGTTAGAGTCTTCACACATATTAAAATGTGTCAAATGGATTCAGAAATGGGATGGATAATCCTGCTAAAAGCGATAACTGTCCTCTGACTGTCCTATTTGGGACAGGCTGGATCGTTTCAATACAAAAGGGATCACTTCAAAGTTCAGGGAGGATACATGCCTTCAGCTTTGCTAGACTACATGCACAATTCATGTAGAGGCATACCACAAACAATGTCCAGCTTTCATTATTCTACTTCAAACCAAGAAATTCAGTCAGCTATGATGATCTCTGTTGCCACCAGAAAAATGACACAGTTTGAAAGGTTTCTTTACTCCAGCTCTGGAAGAATGTCCATTTGAAGACAAGCTATTTGTTATACAATTTTATTTTGTACCAGTTTATACTGCACTTGTTTTTATATGGCAACTTAGCATTAGATAGATAGATAGATAGATAGATAGATAGATAGATAGATAGATAGATAGATAGATAGATAGATAGATATATAGATAGATAGATAGATAGATAGATAGATAGATATATATATGTAGATATATGGATGGACGGCCAAATAGATGGATGGGTGGGTCGATAGGTAGGTAGGTAGGTAGGTATGTAGGTAGGTAGATAGATAGATAGATAGTTTGTTCAAAGACCCACATTTAACACACCCTTTACTCATGCCAAAATGAATTGATGTATCTAAAGACACTCACCTCTGTTGAATATGGCACTTCAACCTGCAGTAGCTGGTGCTCTATAGTGAAGATCCAAAGTGTTGGTGAGCCATTAACTTTAGTGCAACTGGGACAGGGTTCACAGTTGCATTAAAGAGATGATGATGAACATTGTTTGAGTTAAGGTGAATGTCAAGACATGATTATATTCACGTAGGAACAACAGAAACATGTGAAATGAGAGAAATGTGGCTTCAACCTCAACATATTTGTGTCTGTGTTAGAACAAGAGATCATTCATCAATCTTCTCTTGATATGTCCTTCTCATTTTCTTCGTGAATATACCACTGTCCCAACATGTATTGAATGTCTCTTTAGAAACAGCTGATTTTCTGCTCCATGTTGTTAGTGTGCTGACAGCTGACTGCAATCTGCTCTGGCATCATCCTGGGACTGCAGATTGCTCTGAAGCAAGATTTCATTAGACACACAAACAAATTGACAGATATGATGTTAGTTTGCGTGCCTGCATTTTTTATTTGCACAAGAAAGGTGCTTTAGCAGATTGCCATCCTTTGTGTGAGCAACATCTGAAACTTTCTGGATTGACGTCCTCTCTGGCAGCATCATTTAGATTGTGAACACAGCCTGGAAGCAACTGTTATCATTGCCTGGCCACCAAATAACACATCAGTTTAATTTTAACATGATGTGATGCAATATGATTTGCCATGCTATGCTGTATTATGATGTGATGTGAGGGGACTTAGAAGCCATGAATCTGCTCTTTGTTGCGAGACTATGATGGCACGGTGTTGCAGGATGACATCTGGCATTATAACAGCTGATTCAAGATGTGAGTGGAGAAACATGGGTGTGGTAGAATAGAAAAGAGAGAGCCCTGCTTGTTGAGAAGGAGAGAGGCGTGTCAAAATGGTGCTCTCTCGACCTTAAGTGGAATTTGAAGTGATGTTATATAAATAATGTGACAACAGGCGTTTTTTGAGTGATTATTTAAAAAATGTTGTGTTAGCTCCACTAACACAATATGACGCTGTGAGGAAATGTGTGGTCATCCGTGTGATGAAAAATGTAGAGATCACACCCGCGAGAGAGAGAGAGAGCGCGCGAGAGAGACAGAGAGAGAGAGAGAGAGAGCATCTCGCAAACCCCCACATTGCGTGTGTGTCGTGAACATTTTGGAGCCTCTGGAAAGGGAAAGAAGAATAAATAAAGTGGGTCTCTGTGTGCTGACAGGATGGGACTGAGGGAGGGGACGTCGCGCGTGAGAGATGTCTGATTTTGGGGCCAGTGTGCCGGCGTTTTTTTTCAAATCCGTGCCCCGTGAAATTTTGTCGAATAACGGGAGAGCTGCTCATTTGCTGCCGGTATGTGAGCGACTTCACAGACTGAAGGTAATAAAAAAACCCGGCTCGGTGTTTGCTCCTGCTTTCTGTTTCCTCTCTCTCTCTTTATCCCTTTGCATCAATTTGATGCTGCGTGAGGCTGCTGGGCGATGATGCATCAGTGGGCTCTGACTGTGTGAATACGCATCATAGCAAGTCTATTTCCCATTGCTCGGATTGGATTCCTCGGAAATGTAAATTCGAGCAGTTTTTTTATTTTTTTTGCTGACCCACCTTGCGACAAAAAAACAAATTATGACTTATTTCGACGCGAGGTGCGAGGATGCCTGTAGCTGTGGTTGTGTCATTGCTGCGGCACACTCCGGAGCTCCTCGGCTCAAGACACACAACCTCAGTTGAAGAGAAGACAGAGATCCATCAAGTGTTTTACCAGCCAACATAAGCTATAGGAGTGCGTGCATGTATGTGCGAGGAGGCCGTGTTGCTGACACTCTCGAGGGAGGCTTCACGCAGGTTTTTTAGGGGGTTCCCAAGAACTGCCACATCCCCAAATCCGTCTGAGCACTGCTGTGAGCTTACAAGCCGCCTGATGGTTTTTGGAAAGCAGCCCTGATGCATCTTATGAGTGTGAAAACTCAAAGAGCCCTTTTGCCAGGTTTGCATCCCCAGACAGGAGACAGTGCAGATGGTAACTCTGTGTGTGTCATGTTAGAGGCTGGACTCTTGCCTGCACCCTCCAACTCTCAGCCGAAATCTCTGCCCTGCCCTGTCTGAGCCCTTTTTGTATGAGTGTCAGTGCTTCGCCACAACAATCAGCACCAACAGTGTGTGTTACTACCCCCGCCCTCTTCCCTAAATCAAAATAAAGAGCCCCCGGAAACCTGGGTCAGGATGCAGGTGTCTTTCGCGTGCACTGAGCACAACCTCAAGAGTCGCAGTGAGGACCGGCTCTGTGGCCTTCGCACTGCTCCACCTCCTGGAGGAAGCAGTGGAGGAGGCGGTGGAGGTGGAGGTGGAGGAGGTAGTGGACAAGGGAGTAATGGCAATTACATGTCTCAAGGCACGGTCAAGACCAGGGAGGGTCCCGGGTCGCGCCAGGCTCCACACGGCCATGCCCACATGAAGGAGGCCATCGGGCGCCACACCAGCATGAAGTACAGGTGAGTATGGAGATAAGGAGCCCCGGGGGTGAAGGGTTAATCCACTGTCACACTGGTTTTAATTTCTCTATGATAATCACGACATTCTGACCCCCAAGATTATCCCACAGGTAGCAGATTATCATAATGAGCATCAGTGACAAATCCCATGCAGGGACGAGGTGATTCCATCTGCACATCATGAAGCTCCACCAACCAGCTTTCTATTTCTATTTCTCTCCATCTATTTGCTGAGATGTGAGGTGAATTTAAGGCTAGCTTGAATTTTCACCAATATGCATCCTGGTGCATATTTTGCAGGCTGCCTACATGCAGAACATCCATTAGCGAGGATGTAAAGCACCTCATCAAGTGCACATTCAGCAGTGATTTCACTGACATCATAAAAAATGGCATTAACGCCTGAAAATGCTTGCTCTGATAGATGTAAAAATGCTTATACAATGCATACCGAACAGCTATAACGTTATCACAGCGTAACAGGCAGTATGCATATAGGAGCATTTGCCATAGGCTTAGGTGCTTTATGCTAATTTAGCCCTGGCTTCTTGCTCTTTACCACAGATGAATGTGCCTCCAATAATAACAGCTTTCCTTAATGCAACACCACCAGAGCTTTTTATGGAGGTTTAAAAAGCATTAAGGTTTCATAAAATAGTGGTGCAGCATGATATGCACAGAATACTGCTGTAACGGTTGCACATATACCTGGTCTGAGTCATAATGTGGGGGAAAACAGACCAGATAAACAGCAAAGGAAATAATGTTGGTTCTTCTCTTTTAGTATATGATTCTTGAAGGATCAGAGCTTCAGTTTGGACAGTTGTTCATGCAGCCTCTACTTACACCGCAGTGGATTTATATAAAAATGCATATAGAAACACACTAGAATATATAGGACCTCTGTATGCTACGTTTCCTTCCGTTGTAAAACTCAATAACTGAAGGTTTTGAATGACTCGATTTCCTTGTAATCAGGGTGATTGAATTGCCACCTTTCTTCAGTTTTCATTAAATAGGATGTCTAAAACGGGAATGAAGCACAAGATGAAACCTGGATACCTCCACTACGGATTTATCTTCCTAGTGAATTGCATCTTCTGATTTGGTTTCTTCTCATGCTCCGTCTCTGGTACAGTGTCACTAGCAGGGAGTGCAGCAGCACAATAAGTCTATACAGCATATGGGCAGCTCCAGTTGCCAGTGGCAACACCCCAGGCATTGCCTTTAGTTTGTGCCTGTCTTATTTCCTAATCAGTCAGAACTGCTGTCTCTTATCAGCCCTTCTCTGTAAACCGAGTCCTCTGAAAGCCCACCGCCCGGCCGCAGACTGTGTTTGTGGAGGCACAGCAGTCGCACATTCTCCATTTTCCACTGCTGTCACACCACACTGAGGTCAGGGAGGAACCAGGATCTGCATTAAACACGTACGCTGTGATGAGTCCGTGTGTCCGTGACGAGAGGAAACGACGGAGATATCTTGACACGATGTGGACTGAGGCCTTATGAACATCACATTAGAGCAGAAGTCAACAGTTAAAAAAATCTGATCTCCAGATGGTCGATCATGTTGCAACTATCTGGCCTGCTTGCGTGCATTGTTTTAATTCCCCTGCCATCACATTAACCTGAATATTCATAACTCGCAGACAGTGGCACCTGCTGCCATGATCTATCCAATGAGCCTTTGCTGCCCCCTCTGTTTGAATATCTCTATCTCCCCTTTTTCATCCAAGTCTTTAAAAAGGCAGCTTCAAAAGGAAAGATGTGTGTATGTGTGTGTGTGTATGTGTGTCTGTGTGTGTGTGTTTGTGTGTAGTTCATCAGGGTAGTAAAAAGGTGACAAATGTGCTATCAGCGTGAAAAACAGACACACTACTGTCTTGCAGATTCTGTGACGGATTTCACAAATGTCCATATCCATAAATCAATTTTTACACATGATGTGTTATGTATTTAACATACAGTACTATCTCAAAAGAACTGGGTTGATTAAGTATTATGATTATTGTGTGATTAAAATAACTGTGTAACATTTATACCAACATCAGCTCATTTTAATATATTTTTTAATTCAAAATAAAATCCTTAAGCACATAGTTATATCAGCAAAAAACAGCAGCCATTGTCTTTTAGTTTTTTCGAGACCTGTGGAGGTGAGTCTCGGCTGTCACTTTCATTGTCAGTTTCTATGGTAACAAGGCCTCCTCTTTTCTTCTCTCCGAATGCAACCCGGTAAGCAGGTCAGGTACACCTCCAGGAAAGATTTATCTGCCACTGTTTCTGACTTTTCCTCATATATTTGTGTATTGCCAAGACCTCGGGGCACATTGTATCAGTTGGAGGCAGCTGGATGCATCTATCTTAATGCATGATTGAGAAGGGAACACATTTAAGTAGAGTCTTAAAACAGTATAAACAAACATTGTTCATGAGGGTTTAAGAACATTGCACGGTCTAACACAACTTCATTGAGAGTGGGAGAGACAGGGAGCTATTGGCATCATTTTCATTATCATTTAAGCTCATAAAATTACGTTTGGGAAATACTTAGCAGAGAATGAGATGATAATATCATTACCACTCCAAGCAAGAGATGGTATCAATCTTTTCTTGTGACTAATTCTCACAAATTTGGACACAGCTACTTATTGTCTTCAGTTTTCTTTTTCCCTTTGTCGTTTCATCTTAACTCAGCTTTTTCAAGGACTTTGACCCACATCTTACGGTCATCATCAGCACATTGAGTTTCCTCAGATGCTGTGAAGTGGGAGAAAGCTCTGGGAAAAGTGTGTTAGTGGCCCTTTAGTTAAGATTATTTTGTGAAGCTACTATATCCCAGGTAATATACATATGCCTCTAGTTGAATAAAAGTTAGGTCACATTTCACAACAGTGATAAGAAAAGTAGATAATAAATAGACATTCCCTATGATAGGGTTATATATCACATAAAATGACAATAATACCTCCTCAGTTGCATTTCTAGCTCTAGAACAATGCTTAGACCATTTGCATTTCTATCAGGATCCAACGTGTCATGACATTGAGCCATTCAGAGAAGTGCTGTGCTCTAATAGAGTACACTTCAACAGTGAGTTTTGAAAGCCTGAACTCTCAGTAGCTGATGGAGTAACGGTCAAGTTGATGAACAGGATGAACACCCCTGTTAAGTTGTACGGACACATTGTGGCTACGCGTGCAGTGTCTGGTTAAAAAGGGTCTGTTTGTAAGAGGCTTGGCCTTCAGTATTGCTGCTAGCTGGTTGTGAGAATCGCTCATTCAGATTTGATACTCCACACTGAGAGAAATACACATGCAAAGACCTAATTGCAACCCTTTTAAATGTTAGAGTATACACGTCATTTGGGTGCGAAACCTCACACAAACGTCAACAGAGAGCAGTCTGTACCCATCATGCTGTTTGGCGGTGTATCAGTGAGTCCTGGTACCTTGCCAAAACACCACACATTGCACAAAACGCACAGCTGAAAAATATGTCCCATAGATCTCAAGAGCTCGCGCTGGCCAATGGACATCCAGCAGTGATGGGACCAAGTCATTATTTTGCAAGTCACAAGTCAAGACTGACAGTCCCAAAGTCCTAAACTTTAAATGTTGAATCCTAAAAGTCAACAATATGCCCTTCCATAATGTTGCACGTATCTCATACTGCCATTTAGGTTTGTTGTCAACTTTCAACTGTTTTTGTCTGCATACAAAAATGATCTTTGGTATTATTTCATCCAATTGGTGCTTAGTAACAAAACCTTGTTCTTTCCTCTGCAATTGAATGCTTTTGAGTTGATTTAAACAAAGTGGATCAGGGGAATTAAGAATCGAATTGCCGGGGATATATAGCATTAACTTAACAGGAAATTAAGTGAAATAAATTGATTTGTTGAACGTTTCTTAAAAACACACTTTTTAATCTCTGGGTGTGGGGGAATGATCAAGTATTTCCGAGTCAAGTGGCTCAAGTGCAGGTGGAGTCACAAGTTACCGGTATGCAGGTTCAAGTGGAGTTGCAGGTCTTTTTAGATTTTGTCATTTCAAGTCTGAAGATATCAAATGTGTGTCTTGAGTCTGACTCAAGTCCAGGTCATGTTACTCAAGTCCACATCTCTCATCCTCAGCAATACAACTGCCAATTATGAATTCATATAAATGGTTGTGGTGAATACATATTCTCAGTTTTATAAAACCCTACGGCCGCCTTAATGAATACCAAACAGTGATAAAATATTGACTTCACAGAGTGGAGTTGTGATGAATGATAATAAAGTGATAACTAAATGCTTTGGCCTCGTTTTGTTATCAGGGAAAACAATCATTGGAAACAAATGGTGTGTGTGGCAGGGAGGATGAAGAGGCTGCAACGACCTTGACCTTTACATTTTCTCTCGCTGTGTTTTTTTATTTTCCAGTTGACCGAGCAGATTAGTGACATCACTTTGAAAATGTTAGGTAAAGGTTCACTGTATATTCACTAGCTTGATTTTAAAGAGGACATATTGTGCTCATTTTCAGGTTCATATTTGTATTGTGTGTCTCTACTGTGACATGTCTGCATGCTTTTATGTTCAAAAAGCTCTTTATTTTTCTCATACTGCCTGTGCTGCAGCACCTCTTTTCACCCTCTGTCTGAAACCAGAGCCCAGTCTGCTCTGATTGGTTAGCTGGCCGGCTCTGTTGTGAAGTCTCACCCTTTAGCCTATAATGTACAATGTGTTGGAGCGCTCCTAATCAAATCTGTTTTTTGCTGAGAAGTGACAAACATCTGGCTATTTTTTTTTATCCGACACCTAGTAATATGTGTTAACAGGTTTGCTAAATGTTATAATTATAAAACATGGAATTGTGCCATACTCTATTTGTACAGCTGCGGATTGGAGACGTTAAATAGACTGCACTTATAAACCGATAATTGCTGGGTCAGTGACTTACATTTGTCAATATTTGCCTGTGGACTGAAGTGCTGGCAGCATCGAGTGACATAATCAGGGCCGGAAAATCCACGTCACGTCCTGTGAAAAAAAACTGTCAGAGTCTGATATGGTCTATTGGCAGAGTGTCGTCATTGCATGTCATTATGTAAGAGCAGGAACACAGCTAAATGAAAGAATCACAGAAAAGTCTCACAAACTATACAAATATATATTCTAAATGTAAGATCTTTTTATTTTAAAAATCTTCTTAATTTGACCCATTATATTTAAATGTCTTGAACATTCGACATGCATTTTAAAAGCAATTTTAGTTTTTCTACAACCTTTACTAGCTAATTCACAGAAACACACGAGGACCAAAGTACTCTGGGGGACAGCATGATGCTCAAAAACATCTTAGTCTTACATTGCCATTGTCATGAGCACATTGACACGATTCAAAGTTATCTAGGCTTTTGAGACATTTCTGTATTATTTCAAACACATAATCTGCTAAATGAATGCAGTCCATTCACACAAACATAAAATGCTGCTCAATAAAATGGACATCAAATTTCAGTTGTCACAAGTAACATAACCCACATTAAAGGGGAGCATCTGACTGAGTGTGTCTTTGTCTCATTTGCTCCGCTCACGGCATGTGTATTTTATAATTAGGACAGACCTACTTTCAAATCTGTTTTAACATAAATCAATTAAAAAAACATTACATTACATGAAAAGTCTGTTGTTTAGCCTAATTCATTAATAATATCTGAAAGAGAAATTAGAGCACTGGCCGAATTACACTGGCTTCTTGTCCCGTAGAGATATAGACACAACAACACCACATGTGTTTTCTCACTTATAGTGGTGTAGCAGCACGTGATTCTTTCCACAATCTGAGATATCTATCTTATAAATAACCGGAATCTAGTTTGTGCTGCTGAAAGCTTTGACAAATATGAAAGAGAGATACAATGTCCCTGAGCTCACTTTCTATTGAGTCCTTGGTCCCTTTTAACAGTTATTTGGATTATCTAGTAACAAGGACACACACAAAAAAGAAGACGGCATCTTTCAGTGCTTTGAGCACCGAGAAATAAGAATTTAATTATCCACCAATACAGTATTGAGGCAGAATAAGAATTGTTCTGAACGGGCAAAAAGAAGGTAATTTTGGTGAACTGACCCTTAAAAAACCCTGAAGCGGTTTATTAAGCTTTATTGAAAGAGAACAGACAGTCCAGCATCTTTCCACAGTTTGTGCTCAGAAAAAGTGAGGAGAAGCACACACTCACACATACACTGAGGTGTGTGTTATTAATATCTAGGTGTTCTTCCCTCCGGAGAAAAGCCTGCTCAGCATGTGTGTGGCATTTTATGACAACTGCAGAAAAAAAAACCTCGACCATTTGCACCTAACCGTCTGTACAGTGTCTTCCTCAGCGTCAGGTGGAAACTGTGAATGTCAGCACAGGTTAAAATGCTGACTACACCATGACGGAGCACCTGCTCCTTCTCTCTCTCTCTCTCTCTCTCTCTCTCTCTCTCTCTCTCTCTCTCTCTCTCTCTCTCTCTCTCTCTCTCTCTCTCTCTCTCTCTCTCTCTCTCTCTCTCTCTCTCCCATTAACAATGTATGCCCAAGTCAACCAACTCACTATAATCACCTTGTTTAGAGTTCATGATTTATGGCAGGAGAAAAAAACATGAAACAGTAAACAAGGGAAGGCCATACTTACAGTATAGAGGCCACAGAGAGCATCTGTGTTTCTGTGTGGACTATTCACGTGTGCATTCATGCGTGACCGTATGAATATTTGTGCCGGAGTTGGAGTGTAATTCCCTCGGAGCGTGAACGTTCACGTGAGAGCATTGGACCACTGACGCCTCACAGTATAGATCTTGTTGTTGTCTTTGCATAAAGCCTGCCAAATCAATGTCAAATGATATAGGTTGAGTGTCGGTACTTGTGCATGTATGTGTGTGTGAGAGTGTGTGTGAGAGAGAGAATGTCGTGAGGGAGATAGTGAGAGGAAAGAGAGAGCATGTGTCTCTCCAGACTCACTGATAGTAATTTAGCAGACTGCAGCACTGCAGAGAGCGGTGGAGTTGAGAGCAGGAGGGGGGGGGGGGGGGGGGGGGGCAGCCAGTTGTCACACAGAGCAACAATGACATCCTCCATTGCTCGGAAACAAAATAAAAAAGGTGTTTTATGGTGCATAGCAATCATGAAACTCAGCCACTAACGCACGCTGGTGTCTCTGTTGCTCCTGTAACGACGCACCAACATGTTAAGCTGTCAGCTCTGTGCTCTGTTTTTTTATTGACAGAAAAAAACATGCGTTTGTAACAGTTGTGGATGCTACCGGATGCTTGACATTAACACAATGCTGAGTCATGTTGTAGCTGTTGCATTTTTTAGTTGTCACATTTAAAATGTGTAATATAACACATTCTGTTTTTCATCATGGTACTCTTGTGTGAGGAAGGTGGTAAACGCAGTTGGGTCTAGGCTATAATTAAATCAAATTTACTACCACTGCAATATATCCACGTGCTAAATAATGAGCTTTTCACAGGCTACGTCCTGCTATAGATGGCAAAACAGTTTTTTCTGAATTTCAGTTAAAGTGTAGGAAATTACTCACAAAACATGAATATACAGATTGAGATTTACTATTTGATTTTTTAAGCCACAAAATTGTCATTTATAGCCTCTCATGTGCACTGTATTTATCTCGCAGGGGATTTTGAGTCAAAGCTGCTATCCTTTGACACATTTCAAGGCTTTCTGTTTTGTTTTTAAGCTGAGGATGGCTGTTTCAACTAGCAGGGAATATTTTGGGGTTACTGTTTTTTGGTCCAATCTTGTCAAATGATGCAAGAAAAAAAAATTCCTTGAACCTCCCCCTGACTGAGGATGAGGCAAGAAGGCACAATTTGATGGATGTCACCGAAAAATACCAGTAAAGGAGAACAAATAATCCAACAAATATTTAAATGTTTGATTTGAAAAAGCATCTGAAGTGTGTATTTCCCATGTGCCTCATTTATATTCACTCCCAGTGTTCAAAGCGACTCTCAGCGTGTGAGAACAGGCCGAGCTGCCATTGGTTGACAAACGAGACGAGAGACATATTACCATACAAGGAATCATCACCATCAAACGCCACTGACAGTTTCTCCCTCAGTGAAACACTCCCGACCTTCCACCTGTGTGCTATTTTGACAGAGTTGAAAAGGAATGACAGGAACAATAAGCGTCTCCCACCCACAACAATGACGCCCCCACACACACGCACACTGTGGGGCACAAGTGCTTACATATGCAGGAATCTAAAAATAGCTTTAGGTCGAGCATTAAAAATAGACCAGAGAAAATAAAAGCAGGACTTGTTCCAGTGAGTCTAAATGCTCTGACAGTCTGTCTTCCTGCATTTGGCTATTTGTGGCAGACGCAGGCAGGCAAAGAGGGGAGAGGCGCTGGATGAAAAGACGGCAAGTTGCTGCAGTTCTTCTCCAGCTGCCTCCCCAGCTAATTAGAATGGGGGAGAGCGCGCAGAGGAGCAGAGCGAGCGCTAAGCCCACATCACTCTCTGCTGTACATGCTCCTGTGGTCAGAAATGCAGCTCTCTGCTTTCTCCCAGTGCTCGCCCTTCAGAACTCAGCTGTCTGGATAATCAGATGTGGCACGCTGGGTAATTGACTCCTCTTAATGCTTAGGGAACATTTTGGGCCGTTTACACAGTCCACACAAAAGAAGCGTTCGCCTCTCTGAGATGAGCTCGGCTCCGTCCAGCTGTTTCTCTGACCCACTGCGAGACACACTGATCTGTTAACATACGAAAGGATGAAAGGTCAATTGTTCAGAGATAATTAGACCCACGCTGTAATTTAACCACGGGCGAGGAAGACTTTCACTCAGCAGCTGTATGACGTCCAGGATCACTGTGAAAATCATTAACATTTAGCAGTTTATCATGTGTTACATCCTATTAATGAACTATTAATTCATTTGTTATGTCTTTGTGTTCTCATGCTTCATGTGAAAATAAAAAATGTTATTGAGTTTTTTAATTATCTTTCAGTACGATACACAGTGACAAACCAAAATGATTCATTAGTGGCCCTATAGTGCAATTCTTTTAGGTTCATATTTGTATTTAGTGACTCTACTGGGACATGTTTACATGCTTTAATGTTCAAAAAGCTCTTTATTTGTCTCGTACTGCCTGTGCTGCAGCACCTCTTTTCACCCTTGTCTGAAACCAGAGCCCAGTCTGCTCTGATTGGTTAGCTGGCCGGCTCTGTTGGGATTGGTCAACCGCTTAGAGATGAGCTCTAGAAGTGCTAGTGTTACATAGTGATGCCATTATGTTACTGAAGTAGATAAAAGAGTCCAATATGGTGGATCATATCTTTTAAAGATATGTTTGGTCTAAAAAAAAAAAATCCCAAATTTTGGTGGTGACATGTAAATGTATTTGAGTAAAAAGAACAATATCTGCCTCTTAAATGCAGTACAGATAGCATAAATGGCAAAAAGTAAGTACCTCAGATGAAAACTGGGTGTGGCTCCTGTCACTCACTCACATCAGTGTACTGTATGATGGGATCTCACCTGCGAGTGTTTGTGCAATCGTATTTTGAAATAACCTCATATCATACCATCATCTTTTCTTTATTCCTTCACAGGAACCTGGGGAAGTCAGGCCTTCGTGTTTCTTGCCTCGGGTTAGGTGAGTTGGTTTGATGCAGGATATTATTCATCTCTGTTTCCTCCGCCTCAAACTAAACAGACGTGTGTCTCTCCTCTCCCTCAGGCACCTGGGTGACGTTTGGATCTCAGATCTCGGATGAGGTGAGGGCTCTGCCGCACGATACGGCAATACTTTATTGTGAGATCAAGTCTGACATTTTCCCTGCATCACAGCAGCTCCATTTGTAACATCAACAAAGACACATAAGGACAACATGCATTTACCATAACATTACAACCACTGAAGACAATATGTTCAAGACCCTTTAACGTACATTGAGATGCACAAAAGGATGCTTCAGTCCAACATTATTAAATCGCTGTCCCTCTATTTGTTTGATAAGTCCATTCCCTAGGACCTGTGCTCATATTGCATTTGTGGACAACACTACAACTCTCAGTGTTTGTAATCATACAAATATTTCTAAATCCCACATCTGAAACAAAAGTATCTTGGTGAGATATTAGATATCATCTCTACTATATTAACCTCGCTGCATCGTGTCCTTCACGGACGACCTCTGTGTAATTGAACATTTGTCCACCGCCTACGTCTCACAGTCTCATATTTTCTGTTTCCGCAGATGGCCGAGAACCTGATGACCATGGCCTATGAGAACGGAGTGAATTTGTTTGACACGGCAGAGGTGTACGCCTCAGGAAGGTCAGGCTTCACTCCTTCCTCCAAGCATCGATTTTAACTTTACATCAATTTACAGTTTTCTTCAAACTGTATTTGTAGGTGTCTTTATGTCTTCTGATGCTCCTTGAGTCCAGTTTGCAGATGCCCTGTATGATCTGAATTCAGCATCAACTTACCTCAGTTAATTATGTGTTTCTCCACAGAGCGGAGATCACTCTAGGGATTATTATCAAGAAGAAAGGATGGAGGTGATTTTACTCATTTTTTCAAACTGACTTCGGAGCATGTCAAAAGCTTTATTATGATTACTATTTTTTTTAATCCTTCATAATCCGCTTGCTTTTTAAATACACTGCTTGCCCACATGTGTTGTGTTGCTGTTGAAATAGGCTACCATTAAATTATCTCAAGGGAAATTCATACTTTTTAAACAAATGAGGAGTTTAAGCCTCAGAAAGACTATAAAAGGATTAAAATGTTATAGCACGTGAACATAAACACTGGGGGCTGATTTGCCTGGCTGCCAATCCTCGAGACACCTTTGATGGGGAACAATACAAGGAGGAATAAAAGTCAAACTTGAAATCAAGAATATGCAATCTGTCAATAGTGGTCAACATAGTCTTTTTATAGCAAATATTGAAGGCACAGAGAAAGGAAATTCTGACTTTTAAACTTGCATAATGCACACTGTATTGATATATTAACTGTCCTCCTAACCCTCCTGTTTTATTACCAGGCGTTCAAGTTTCGTCATCACAACAAAGATCTATTGGGGAGGCCAGTAAGTAAAACTCTAAAAGAGTATGTGCTTTCTTTTGTCTAATATAAGTTATTGTTTTAATTTATGCTCTCAATAAAACATCAGTAATTTGTGTTTTCATTCATCCACAGAGCAGAGACAGAGAGAGGACTCTCAAGAAAGCACATTATTGAAGGTAAAGTGACTTTTGAGTAAATTTGCTTTTAAATCAGAAAAAGGATCAATTCAGTTGTGTGTATTATTACTACATTTATTTTTATTTTCTTTAAAGTGGACCTATCATACTATATTATAATAATATAGTGTAGGACCATACCTATATAAGGCATATTTATACTTTTTTTTTTTTCAAAATACCAAACAGATCATGCATTTTAGCCATGCCTCATTTTGCTCAATTTGACATTTTTTAGATCTGTTTTAGCAAGGGTTGATTCTGTGAGAACAGCACCACCTACAGGCCTGGCATATGTACTACAGCGTCTCCAGCGCTTTCGAACGGCAATGGCCGTGACTGTCTCCTCCTGATTGGTGGAGTTGGCCCAATAGCCGTAGCGCCACTGTCCTGACGTCAGGACAGTGTTCAAATCTGGATCAGTTTTTATCAGATCCGTTGCAGCCCCTTTTTTAGAGATTTGGGTATGGAGGAAAATAGAGAGGGTTGTGTTTTCTGACACTTGGTGAGTTCCCTGGAACACCGGGGACACATATTCATGTATTAAAGACGTACATATGTGCATTTTGCATGATAGGTCCCCTTTAAGTTCAATTTAGAGAGTTTACTATAACCGTATATGACATTTCTTCCAAAGTGCATTAATTCTACCCCTCAGCTAACCCTGAGTTGTGATTAGTCATTTGATGATGCTGTAATCTTTGAGTGTGCGCTCAGTTCAAGCCACTCCATGTCACAGTGAATACATCAACATATATAAGAATAACACATGATTCATGACAGCCGAAGTACAAACAAGTATGGTCCTTTGCAGCATATATGATCAAAATGGTGTACTGGTAGATAAAGTGCATGACTTTAGCATTAAGAGTGTTGAAGAATGGAAATGCAGATTGAAATCATATGAGCTTGGATGTTTCCGTGGACCAGGAAAAGAAAGAGATGCATTTTCTGTATAAAGAACATCTCAAGGTCCCCAGGACTGTCTTTCCGGCCACTTAACTCGTTCCTCCTCCTACAAAATCATTCTCAAAAAGACTAAGTGCCTACTGGCCTTGTACACAACAACTTCTTTGTGTATGTTGCAATTGAAATAGCCCTGGGGCGGCCATTTACCAAGGACCTGAATATCTCGTCATTGTGATGATGTTTTTGATTTGAGGCCATTGCGTACTTGAGTGAATATGTGCAAGGACAGTGCTCATATTTGGACTTCCTACTCTAATACTATTAACTCATGACTTCAACCTCTTCATTATATTGGGAACATACCCCAAGGACACATTTGAGTAGAAGAAAAAGACAGCAATACCTTTCAATATCCCACTGTAAAATAATATAGGTTTAACTTGAGTAACGCGCTGTTGCACATTGTAGTAAATCAGGAATCTTGCATAGATGCCGATGGATTACTACCACGCTGACTTGGTTTTAGCCATGCTAGCAATGTGGCTCTATGGACGGCATTTTTGCTCTGTCTTTCCTCCAGACAGCTCCAGAATGATTTATCTCAGCAGCAGCTTTTGGATGGATTGCTTTCAAGTGTTGACAGTCATGGTTCAATAGCCCATGAATCCTTATGCATTTCCTTTCACTCTTCATCAAGTGAAATCAACAGGTCAACAAGTTTTGGACCAAAATATCTGCAGGACTAATGACATTTTCATTGGCTACATGATATGTTCACAATATAAATCAAAATTGTATACATGGTGAACAGTATACCAGCATTCTGATGTTAGCGTTTAGCTTAGTGAAGCCTTTCAGAGTCGCTAGCTAGGCTGTTTTTGATGATATTGTCTGATCTGTGACCATTTCTAATGACAGGTTTGAGAGGATCCTTATCAAGACTGCAGCTAGAATACGTGGACATCGTTTTTGCCAACAGAAACGATGTGAACAGTCCGATGGAGGGTCAGTGACACGTTTGAAATTATGATTCTTGTTTGCTGTGATCAATTGCCTTAAATTATCAGGAGAGTGTGATGTAAATATGATGCTTTATACTGTCATTTACAGAGATAGTACGGGCCATGACGTTCGTAATAAACCAGGGTATGGCCATGTACTGGGGAACCTCACGCTGGAGTGCCATGGAAATCATGGTAAATGCAGATCTCACACTTTACACACCGTCAGGTTATGGCAGGGGTGAAACTTTTTTCACCAAGGGCCACATACAGAAACATATATGAAGGGCTGGGCCACTCACTAGAGTTAAGTTATATGTTAGCAAAATCAATCAAATGTAGGTCAATTATGCTTAATACTTGAATATGCTTTAAGAAAAACAACAGCCTACATCCCAGCTCTCCAGAGAGTTTCATTTAATTTGTTAGCAGCTCATTCCTTAAAACAGGAGCCCCAGGTTGATTATCATAAGAGGAAATAGGAAGGGTTTATTTCAAGCGTGTTATGAAAATAAGTTATTGGCCTTTTTTCTTATCAAGTTAGATTTCATAGAAAATATTTTCAACTTTTATTGACTGAATTTGTTTGAAAAGCGTGCTTCTTAACACATGAATACTGTGTAATATCCGTTTTCATCTATATTTAAGAAGTACAATACAATACAAGACAAGCACAAGTTTCATTTGTGGGCCATACTCCATTATACTTTTTTAATTTGCTGAGGGCTGATTCAAAATGACCCACGGGCCGCATTTGGCCCCCGGGCCGTAGTTTGGACACCCCTGGGTTATGTCATAAAATGCTCACCATTAACCTTTTTGTTTTGCTTTCTCTGGCAACAGGAGGCTTACTCAGTGGCACGCCAGTTCAACTTGATACCGCCTGTGTGTGAGCAGGCGGAGTATCACTACTTCCAGAGGGATAAGGTGGAGGTGCAGCTTCCTGAGCTCTACCACAAGATCGGTCAGACTCTCACCAGTCTCGCAGCACTTTATTTATCTTTATTTCTTGTTATTTAAGGTTCACCCTGTTTCATTTCAATCTCTTCCCCTATCCCAGGTGTTGGAGCCATGACCTGGTCTCCCCTAGCTTGTGGATTAATCACAGGGAAGTACAGCGATGGTGTGCCCGAGTGCTCCAGAGCAGCAATGAAGGTCAGTTTGATTTGACTGGCCCTCCCTTGGGATTTTTCTCACTAGAAATCAGCCTCGAGGTAATTCTCTCCCTGATCAGTGGGGGGATTGAAGTGTGAAATCAGTACTGTATCAACGCTTGTCTCCATTTTGCTCCCGGTGAAGGGATACCAGTGGCTGAAGGAGCGAGTGAACAGCGAGGAGGGCCGCAGGCAGCTCGCTAAAATCAAGGAGCTCCATCTACTGGCCGACAGACTGGGCTGCACCGCGGCTCAGTTAGCCATCGGTACGACCAGAAAATATCTACCAGAGCCTTGCTTTCTTACTGTTGTGTGACTGGAGGTTATTGTAAACTTTCTCAGATTTACTTTTTTTCCAATCTTAAATCTTTTCCATGGTACAAAATGATTGATTCAAATGTTTGTTCAAGTGCATTCATTGATTGTGTTAAGAGAGATTAGGCAACACTTTTAGTGCTTTACATACATTTTTCCTGTCTGCCAGTGGGCATCCACTATATTGGTCAGTTGCAATTACAACATTACTTTTTCCCATTTTTCGGTTGAATCATCAGTGTCTATTTTTCAGTCCACTAATCGATAATTTCATTTAAAAGACAAATCTGTAAAAGAAGGTTTCTCCACAAAGAATTTCTGCAAAAGCACCACTTTCTTGAGATGTGCTCAAAAAAGGTATTCAGCATGGAATAAAACAAGGACAATTACTTATTGACTTAATACATCTTAGTCCACTATTTAACTAATAGGGCAGTTATTTTTTTTAAAAGCATGGTTTATGCCATGTGAATTTGTCCAGAATGAATGCTTGCCTGTCTACTATAAAATGTACTGATTTAGGTAGTAGCCCAAAGTGTATCTGATCAGACCTCTTACTGTTTTGGTATTCAGGTTGAATTTGTCCATTTGACACATTTGTTATGCTTTATCTCTTTTGTACAGCTTGGTGTCTGCGCAGTGAGGGAGTCAGCTCAGTTCTTCTGGGTGTTTCTAATACAGACCAACTACTTGAGAACCTGGGTGCACTACGGGTATTACTTTTATTTTTTCCTTCCATATTTAAATATCTGACAAACAGAGTATGAAATATGTCTTACTTGCTCTGTGAAAAAGAAAAACTTCATTGCCTTTTTGTCTCTTCCTCCTTGCAGATCCTATCCCAAATGACCCCACAAACCATCGCTGAGATTGATGGCCTGCTGGGAAACAAGCCACACTCAAAGAAGGAGTTGCGCGCTTGAAGACGCAAAACTGAGTGACAGTTTATGTTTTTTCGAAAAGATGAAGAAGACAATGACATTGGGAAACATCCATTTTTGCTCTGCTGTATACTCAACAACTTGCATGTCCTCAGCAACATTATGCTTCCAGTATGTGCGCATATCCATTTTGCGCAGTACATTGTATCATGTATACAAAAAAATAAGATCTCTCAATTGTGAAAAAAACAGGTCATATATTGCTCACTGCCGTTCAAGACTGATTATTTTTACAGAGGTCCATCCACAGAGACAACGAAAGGCTCAAAGATTTGAATCAAATGTTCTTAAATAGAAAAAAACACCTATGTGCTGAGATGCAACTTTAAAGCGTGAATGGTGCTTTCATTAGACATGTGAGTCTCCTCCCCTCGCAGCTGCCTGTTAATCTGTATGTTTATTACCCAGCATTCAGAGAGCCAAAGGTTAGTACTCATGTGTCTAGCCTGACGTTTCCCATAGTGTGCATGTGACTGGTCTGCCACGCTCACTGCTTCACAGGGTTGGGAACAAGGGATTACTTGTCAAGAAAAAAAAACAGAAACAGATCACATGCTTTTTCAAAATCTGGAAAGTGATGTATTACTTTGAAATGACCAAATATTTGTTACGCATTCTGCAATGATTTTAGCAACCAGCTAAAATGAATAGATTGCACTGCAACGATAACTGATTTTTGGATTGGAGTGTTGGTTAATACAATCTAAAATTGTCAGTAGTGAATGAGATTTTGAAAGTAACTTTCCCAACCCTGATGCTTTCTCAGCAGTCTTTTTGCCTCTTCTGTTTGTAAACTGTGCGCATGTCCCTTTAAGAGAGAATAGCCCTAACACAGGGTGTAAATGTGGCATGGCTTTTATGGCTTATGTAGATCTGCAGTGCCCTTAAGCCATTTTTTTTACTCTAAATGTTCTGGCAGTTTGATCCAGGATCTGTGTTGACGGGCACTCTTGCTTTAAAGACTCTCTTCAGTCTGCAGACACGGACGGGTGTCCACGTATAATCTTTGTATTGTCTTCAACTGTATCAAAAACATGTTGGCATCACTTCCAACAATGCCGTTCTTGTGAAGAGCATCCTTGTTCCAAAATCAGAGGTTTGAGGCAGTTGGACTTTTCGGGAAGGTCACTGAGCATCTGACGCAAAGATTTGGACACACTGTGTTAAAATAGTAGTTTTCAAATGATAGGACATATGAAAAGGCTGAGTTTATCACATGTGATAATACTATTGCCACAGTTCACTTGGGGTAAGATTTAGCAAATGTAACTTTTTTTTTTTTGTGGAAGCCTAAAAATATAGCTTCTCTGGGAGTTTTCTGTCTCTGTTTATAATTTGTTCCCTTGAGTCTTGCTCCCATGCACAACTGGTTTTTCTAATGTGCATTTGATGTCCTTTCCTTTTAGTTTTGTATTTAATTCAATTATTTGTAATGTGAAGGAGGCGGATTTGTTCCTTTTGTGATTCTCCCATGAAAGCAGCACTAATCTCCAGATCGGGGTGCGTGTGTTTTGATACATGAAGTTGTTTCAGTTGGTACAAGGTGACATTGTACTGTAAATAGGCTTATCTGTTTGAGATGGCGAGATAAAGGTTAAATATATGAATCATGGAAGACTCTTCTGAAGGAGCGGCTGAAGCGTTGCTCCTCTGTGACTGTGATGATGGACCGGGTGTAGCTTCCAGTGTACATAGATACTTCAATCAAACCTTGAAAATGTAACTCTGCCTGAATGACTTATATTTTGTCTTGCAACAAAGAGAAAAACAAAACAGAGAAGAGACAACTCATTCTGAATGTATCATGTCTGTTGCTCAAACCTTTTCTCATCTAAAGGGACAAAGCACATGTTTGAAAGGTATATTTCTTATTGTGTCTGCAGCACCCGTTACATAACAACCTGCAGAGCTGTCGTGCACAGAAGGACTCGGACAAAGGTTATTTGCACACACACACCACACCGAGTCAAAATGTGAATAGAAAGTTAAATAAGATTTTGTATTCGCTATTCATCACCTGAAGAAATAGAGTATGTATAGCTATAATGTTAAAGTCAGCTCCCATTTGAAATAAACCGTTTATTTGTGCACATGCAGGAATGTTAATTTATGAGCTGCATATAAACAACCTATCCCAAAGACTCTAAATAAAGCACATTACCCACAATGCCCTTAGTTCTAGGATTACATTTGCAACTTCCATTAAAAAGATACCATGTGCTAGGATGATCTTTCTCAATATTTAATCCCTCAGATTCAAAATGTTTTTGCAGAGAGAGAGTAAAACGAGCAGCAGCAGCTCCGTGAACTCTGCTGCTATTTCCTCATTTTATAAATCTCTGCACTCATAACTTGAACAAGCAAACAGAGACAGATAACTACATTGAACCCTGAACAGGTTTGGTTGCTTTATTTCTAGTGAAGCTCTGAATGCACCTTTTGGTCGGCTTCCTGGTGTTAGGCAAATCAAAACATTGATCATCTTCGGGGCTCTGCAAAAACGAGAACTACAACGAGCTGCTTGTGAAATCTCCCACAGACTACTGTTTGTGTAAACGAATACATCGATTAAACCGCTACCTTTATAACTGCATGTTTCTCATTCTGGCAGTTACAAACTTTTAGCTTTCTTGTATATTATTTTGCGACTAACAGCTTTGTTTTACAGACTCACTCATTATACAGTATGTTTAACAAGGGCTGAGACATACTAAATATCTGATGGCAAAATTGAATTGTTTACCATGTGGACATATATTCAATTGCATATACAAATACAGAGCATAGGCAGGTACCACATTTGTCTGACACATGTACATACAGTAGGATATATTTGGAAGAATGGTGAGTTGGTTATTAAGAAATAAAAAAAAAAGTCTAATTAACGAGGATTTCCTAACTATCAAGTTGGATAATATACAAATGTTACCTGCAATTAACTCTTCCTAAAAGAAGGTAAGAACTACCAAACCATACAATATCTTCACTGCTTTAGAAAATCAAAATGGTACTCAAACTGCAAACTAAATGGACTCCTCCATAATGTCCCTCGGGCCCCTGAGTCATTCAAATGGATGTTACAGGAACAATGTGAGAGCTGTGAGTCCAGCGCTGATCTGTGCCGAGTCCACTGGGACACCACATGCTCACCACAAACACAAAACATCTGCCAGCCTCTCGTTTCTCGACTCCCAAATGTCATCGGAGTGATAAAGATAACATATGTGCTTATCACCGAGAGCCACCCTCTGATAAAGATTATCATATGTGCTGTAAAATACTGGATTTGTCACCGCCAACGCTGTCGGAGATAAACAGGTTTCACTGCATGATTCATTTTTTTCTGGAGAAGCTGTTGGGACAAGGTGGTGAAAAACAGTGAGAAAGGATGAAGCTGGCCACATATCAAATTTACAAGCCCCAGCATTGAATTAATACAGTTTCTTGCCTAGTTGTTGCTTTTATACCAGTTCATTGATTATTTGAATGAAGACCGTATCTGCTGCTGTGTACCAAAGGGTGCATACTGTATGTCTCATTACAACTATATTATTGAAATGAAGCAGGCCAATCTGTCAGTATGAGTTGAGTGCTCACACTCAGTGAAGTTCAGATATGTTATTCCTCTGAGCTGTCCTTTCGCCTCGATTGTTGTCGAAAAACACTTAAACACACACATCAGTGAGTCACTCCATCGCACTGGTTGACCATCCTGCTTAATACTTGGTGAAATAATCCACAGCTGAAAATAGTCCCAGAGATCCGCAGCATTTACTTCTGTTTGAGGAACGTTTGATTAAAGCTATTGTCCAGCTGTTCCACTTGATTAAACTTACTAAGCCTTAAAAATGTAACTATCTGTTCATGGCCTGTTATCATGTTTAATAAACGTCTTCAGTAAGAGCACATGATGTCTGGAGGGTGTAAAACAGTAACATTTAATAATAAATTGACAATAATAACATTACGATTAACATAACGCTTAACCTTTGAGGTTGCAACACGATTTGCGAGAACCTGCAGTGTACCCGTAAGAGTGGTATTAGTGAATTTTCCTTTGTCAAAGCACTCATTTTAAGCATGTCATGACACTGCTAGTCTCATTGGTTGAATGCAATTTAGCAAACACTACCACTCTCCTAACAGTAGAGGTATCATATCTTTTTTGGGGGAAAAAATAAAGAAAATCCACATTTATCCGCATCTAAAAGGCTCCTTCCTGTCCTTAATTCAGTCCGGCTTTCAGCACATCTGCTGAATCCCATTCCATTCCCCACCGGCCACTATACAACAAAAGTCCTTCACATCACTTCGACATGTCCTCCGTCTCCTTTAGCTGCTGAGGGAATCCAATTATCCCTACAGTCAATAAAGTGTTCTTCGAAGCTGCTTTTTAAAAACACACCCATGCCGTATATTCTATCCCCATCCCTATATGATAGTTGATCATTATTTTAAATGCTCTTCTTCCCTACATTCAGTTGTTAAAAGCAATAATAATTACACTATCAGATCAAAAATAGTACAAAAGCAAACAAAAGATGAATTGCTTGATCACAGTAACTTTTATTTTCTACTAAAACACATGTTTCATGCAGGATTGGTCACTTTCCACAACAGCCAACAAAAACACAATGAAACTAGTTTAGAGCCACCTGGAGGCATTTGGCCACACAACATTAGGCAAGATGGACGCAAGGTTGAGTGTGTGCACATTTCTAGAGGGGTTATAAATATAGTGAGTCTTCTTCTGCTGTTTCATGCTGTTACATGCTTTCATTTGATAACCAACAGCCAGCCAATCATACCTGGTCATTACACTGCATTCACTTTATGATGCCAAAAAAAAAGTCTGTTAAGAGCACAATAATAAATGCACCTGAAAATAAATAAGAAAATAAAAGAACCAAGTGAAATATTGCTTTGGAAAATAATAATATCTATGTACAGTACAAAGTAGCGCAGGCACATGCTTTTGACAGTAGTATATTTATATTATGAGAAAACTCATAGATGTGGTACAGTTTGGTTTGTCTCCTTATTGATTAGGGTTGGCTGTGGCAATTAAAGGATTTTAAAAATCTTTTCTGTCTATTTTTTTATGCCAACTTCGCAGCGCGCACTGCGACCTACACAAAGGGTTATGCACTGATAGGCTGCAGCACAGCTTAAGTTTAAACAGTGGAGTAGATAGAAGGCATATGTGAATCAGAGTATACTAAATGTGAAGGAGAGGCGGAGCACGCAGGAAAGTCTACGCTCTACTATACAAGGCCTGCTATGATCTTCATATGAAAATAAAAGAGGTAGGCTGATTCTCTCCACTGCTCAGGATATACTGACAGTTTAATAAGATGCAAAAATGGGCATTGATGTACTTGTCAAACATGCTACACACAAAGCCTGTTGCAAAGATGACAGTCCAGCACAGCATGCTTGAAATCAGACACCCAACCTATTAAAAATAGTTTTTCTTTTTCTTACACACGCTGCTTGCATATCAATACTATTAAGACTTGGATAACGTTTTCATGTAAACGAGGAGACAACAAAACACACGACTCATGCATGCTTTAATCTCCTGACTGTAGAACAACAGTAAACACAGACGGATGTTACTGCACAGAATATTTAGTAGCCTTTGCTTGGATTTTTAGGTTGCAGGAGAATGTTAAGAGAGCTTTGTTGATAGAGAAAAAGATTCAGCACATTTTCTTGTCTTTCTTACTGCCCGTCTGCATGACATCATTGAGGTTAAACGACATGAACGCAATCTGCTCAAGTTCACTCTCTTTCCCGCACTCCATCAAGCACGAGAACTGATCCTTGTCTCCGTTGTAAGCCAGGTCTGAGTATCCGCTGGGCCCGCTGTGGATGATCCTGGGCCTGTCCCACCCTGATGAGTGCAGTGGGGATCGGTTCAAATACACACCCATGTCCCTTCTACTAGATTTGTTGGTCGGGTGGATGAAGAGGAGCCAGGTCTGCGTGTCTGGAGACAAGAGCGACGTGCCACAAGCTTTGCTTTCAGCGTCATCGTTGGGGACAAATTCAGGGGCAGGGAAGCCGATGACGCTGCCCTGACAGCCTGAAGGCGGCTCCACCAGCTCTGGAGCAATGTGGGGTTTGTCAAAATACACACCGCTGTTTTCACTGAGGGCCTCACACCTGTGGCCCCCAGTGTTACGAGCATTGCAGTAAAGATGACTCCTGCCTTCGTGGTCTATGATCTCTGCCATTTCGCACTCACATGACTTTTTTCGAAGCATCTTACCTATATGCCACGTCTGGCCAAAGTCCTCGCTATAAACTGACAGTGCACGTGGGTAGACTGTGAAGGGAATGGGGTAGGAACAGCATCTGTAAGGGACGTAATAGGCGTACGCTGGGATGATCAATCTGCCGTTCTCCAGCTGAACACCGTGGCCCGGGCCCACAGCAAACGTGGCCCACTTATGGATAGTTTCACCAATCACACTTTGTGTTAAGTCTCTCGCTTGACTCCAGGTTTGCCCGTCATCGCTGCTGCTAACACAGCAGAGACGTGTCTTGTTCTTACCTGTGAGAATCTGCCTCAACTCTGTGGTGTTTCCCAAGATACCGATGAAAAATAAAAACAGTGTTTTGCTGTTTTTTTCGTATACAGGGCAGGGGTTCATAGTGCGGTGGTTTGGGAGGCATGCTGTTGATAGCTCCTGACTGGACGACCACTGAAAAACATTACAAGACAAGAGTTAGAAAAGATGAGCATCGATCATGTTACCAGGTATCAGTATTTAAGCAAAGGTTAATATGCTGGTTTATGCAAGTGAATAATAACCTGAACAGATCCATCATCCTTCAACATTCCTCTTCTCATAACCAGGATTTTGGCATCATGGTCACAGGGTGAGGATCTTTTCTCTGCAAAGGCGAGGAAGGTGTGACTGTGCCTCAGATAAATGAGAGCAGGGATTCTGTATGTTATCCCACTTGGCTCCTTTTCAAATAAAGTTGTTTTGACTGGTTCATCTCCACTGCGACTCTTTGATGGTGTATTTCCCATGGTGGATCAGATTTCCTGCGAATTGAACATGTGCCAAATATATGAAAAGTGTTGGTTTGGTATAACAATGTTGAGACAGAAAGAGTTCACAGTCCAACAGCTCCTCATAGACACATATGACAGCGTTGTGACAAATTGCACATAACGTATAGTGTGCATGCATAATAAAATGCTCACCTTCACTTGTCACTCTTCACATTTGACACCCTTGATCTTTTCGTTAACGGCATTATACCGTCTAATATCACGCCATAAAAGAGACCTCTAATTTTCACGACACTGATGCTGTGGGTCCATCTGAAAAGAAGACGGCTCTGAAGCGAAACATACACTCTCTGTTACTTCCGGGTTCGCTCAGACGTCTAGTTTAACAATACATACGTAAGCTAGAACTTTAGTTTCAGTTTTAATTCAAGCATTCCTCGCTTACCCGTGCTTTCACATAACCTAAATGAGATATAAGGTGGCTACTAAGTATTGGAAGACAGGAGTTATCAGAAACACGGACTTATTACGGTGTCCTGGCTCACGCATGCGCAGTGTTGTCAATTCCGTTTAAACCTTATATATACAGTCTATGGTTTAGACGCTAGCCCGCTAAACTGTGTAAAATGAACAGGGGTCGATCGTTTATCCGTCTTTGTAAGTCGTACACCGCGTGTTGTGCATGACAAACGATGGCGTATTCATAACACTATATGTGCAATGTTTTTAAAGTACCTTCGCCTGCATGGGCAGACCTCTATCTTACCAGTGAAGTCAATCTTTGACTAGCCAGTCTGGCCATGTTTTCTCTTTACCGCCTCCTGCCGGACGGGAGGACGGCTCTCGTCTTACATGCTGTTGCTAGGATACAGAGGACTATAGTGTAGCTCCAGACCAAAATATTTTTGAAGTATTTCTAAATGACCTCGCGAATTGCCTCATTAACACTTACGTGCTAAGTTGTTTGCTGCTAAATGGATATCACAAGCAAACAAGATGACTGCAGCGTCCTATAAATGTGATAATGGAGAGAAGAATCTCACCAAATGTTTCCCACCCCGGACATTGCTCAGCCGGAGGAAAGAAGGTATGTTAAAAACAATACAAGTTACTTACAATATACGTGAAGGCTCCCATACTACCGATTTACACACCCTTTGCTGTCCAGTGAAATGTCAAGTTTTTGTTATTGGGATTGTTTGTCATAAACTAAAAAGTGTTCATTTATGGATGAATAAAAGTATCCTACTTAAGCTAAATACACTATTTAAAACCCCTCTTTGAATATAAGTATAAATGCACAGTCACAAAGATGAAAACAGGGCTGTTGTTCTAAGGTCAAAAAGTTATTTTCAGAGAAACATGTTTTTTTTTTTTACAGAAAAGCAAAACTAAAAACACTACTACTACAATATTATATTATTTTATAGAATATGATGTTTTGCTGAGGATTAAACTAACAAGTAGTACACCCGGGAGTTAAAAAATAGCACAACATCACAACAGTAAAATGCAGCAAACACATTTTATGCAGTAACAATATATATCCAAAAAAGTAATAATAGCAAATTACTGATGAGGCAGGATTTGTACTTTAAAGGAGCCTTTTCACAGTGTGTACTTTGAAGGAAATAAAGGATCCGAATAGCCTTTTTCTTCCCCCACTGAGCACTATGGTTATTAATTATACATTTGTAAATATGCAATGTCTGCTGATTATATTTCAATTCAACTTTTCTGTAGTGGCTGGACATTTGCTTGAATATCACAGAACGACAGAGGAGCAGAACCACAGGAATGTGCGTAGAAGAATAAAAGAGACTCATGAAGAATGTGGGAACAGCAGGGGGGCTGAGACTCCTCATGGTAACACATTCGATGGGATTTTACTGGTAAGGCTCTGAAACATATTATAGATGTGCTTATTTGACAAAATTGTAGCAAGATGTTTTTTTTGTCGGTGACCACAAACAATCACAATTTTCTTTCGTAGCTCCAGTTACATTGTGTTGATAATCCGTCTGAGCTGTGCTCCGTTGACATCAGTGAGCAGAAACTGAACTCTGTAAGAATGACTTTTCACACATTTTAACTGTTTGAAACTCAGTGGGTAAAACACATTTAATATTTGTTTCTTCATGTGCACAGGTCAAGCCAGAAGAGCTCAAGGTGTTTGACAATGTAGTTGACATTGATGCATCTATTAACTCCCTCTCTTTAGGTGATTATTGTATACATCATGCAGACTTTCCTTCAATAAGAAGTTGTGCCTCTTGCAAACATGTTTCTTTAAGACAATGTGTTTTTACAGGGTCTTTCAGCAGTTTTGTTTCTTTAAGGCAACTCAATGTGTCATTAAATGGGATCAGCAACATGACGTTTCAAGCTGCTGACTTCCCTCATCTCGAGGTAAGGGACTTTCTCTTATTTAATAGACCACTATTACGTTCTTAAAATTGTATATTTGGGTTTTGACCTGCCACATGGGTAAAAATATAACTTTACATGCCCATTTAGTCAAACCATGACATCTAAACATTATATAATCATCCAACATGTGTTCTTGCATTGATCTTAAATAGTGAGAAAACAATGTTCATTGCACATTTAGGTTGTGTATATCTGCCTATATCATGCCTTTACATTATTAAAATTACAGCAACAAGAAATTACAAGGATCGACTATAATTTGTGTCTAATATCAATAATATTTCCAAATGAAATATTTCAGACCTGTACTCTGCAAATGAGCAACAACTTTACCTAACAATTTCTTTAAATCTTTACAGGTTTTGGATTTGTCCTACAACAGTTTGTCTGCAGAGGATATTGTTTCCTTGGGTCGGCTTCCACATCTAAAACGCCTTCACCTGACTGGAAATCAGCTTCATCATCTTCCTCCTGATCTGGGTTCCTCCAACCATGACCCGTCCCACCTGTTCGTACCTTACTTTTCATTGGGCAGGCATCATGAAGTGTCAAGTTTATTCTTGACATTTCATCTTTATTCTCAAAATGCCCAACACATCTTCCTCCTCTTCCTTTCCCCCCTCTACCTGGCACTATCACTCTTTTGTAGAATAGGTATTGAGTGGGTCAAGATATTATATTTTATTTAGAGCATTCACACTCCTTACTTAAAGGGGACCTATCATGCAAAATGCACTTTTGTACGTCTTTTATACATGAATATGTGTCCCCGGTGTTCCAGGGAACTCACCAAGTGTCAGAAAACACAACCCTCTCTATTTTCCTCCATACCCAAATCTCTAAAAAAAGGGTCTGCAACGGATCTGATAAAAACTGATCCAGATTTGAACACTGTCCTGACGTCAGGACGGTGGCGTTACGGCTATTGGGCCAACTCCACCAATCAGGAGGAGACAGCCACGGCCATTGCCGTTCGAAAGCGCTGGAGACGCTGTAGTACATATGCCAGGGCTGTAGGTGGTGCTGTTCTCACTGAATCTGCCCTTGCAAATCCAGAGCAAAAAAATGTCAAATTGAGCAAAATGAGGCATGGCTAAAATGCATGATCTGTTTGGTATTTTGAAAAGAAAAAAGTATAAATATAGCATGATAGGTCCACTTTAACAAATCCTTCACTTATGAGCAGATGATACTGTGACAATTCGGATGATACATTTGTTAATAGTGTTACTGTTTACTTGTTTAGTTTGATTTACATTTGCCCAAATGAATCCACTCCTCTGCTCTCAGTTTTGCTCATTTATTCTGGAAAAAATGGCAAAAGCACAAGAAGATAATTGATAAAATCTTGCCAGAGTGGGATTGCTTTTCTGTCGCTCACCTCACAAACAGGTCAGCTCTGTCACACACAGCTCTGTGCATTGGCTCTTTTGCCTGAGAGACAGGGCCTACTTTCCATTTAAAAGCTATTACAAAAAAATCCTCTTATATGAGTCATGGAGAAGCTGGCAGAATTAAATACAACTAATCTGCTTCAGTGTTTCGAGGACAAATAAGTATCTAACAACATGATGCTGCATTCAGTCTGCTTTTTACATCTGTTACTGCAGAATGTACATTTTATTGATGCTTTGAAGCATAATAGGCTACAATATCTTGCTTACAAAGTACCACAATGCCTTTGTGGTTACAGTTAAGAGTATACACAGTTATTCAACTTATAATGAGGCCAATAATAAACAGTACAAGGGTATGATTTCATTACACAACAACTTGTCTTAAGCGTTACTTACAGAGAGAGGCCCCAAACTCAATGCATTTACAAAACGTTTTCAAATTGACCAAGAGGGGGTGCACACAATGCTCCAAATTCACACTCCTGAATCTAGTGTAGCAACTGTGGAGACATTTGATACACCTGCTGGACAGCCAGGTTCATAAAGAGCAGGAAGTGGTGTGCACACAAACTGTATGTCGTATGTTACTGTACACATTCATGCATTCATCAGTGTTTGTGTGGAAGTCATAGTCTTAGTGAATTGTGTTGTTTTTCCTGTGTTTACAGGCCAGACGCACAGTTTGGAGCTCTTGAGGTCCTGATGCTGGACGATAACAAACTGTCCTCTGGAGTCTTCAACAGTCTGGCAAACCTTAAGAGGTCATGATGTGGTTGAAGTATTACTCGAGGCAGTCTCTAATGTCACAATGCGTAAAACAAATCTGTGTAAACATTAATAAAGGATTTATAATGATCTTTTACAGGCTGAAGTATCTAAACCTGCAGGGGAACCATATTTCTGAAATTACATTTTCGCAAATTGAGGGCTATTCCAGGCCTTTTCAGACTTCTGTTGAAGAGCAAATGGACAAAGAGGGTTTTGGTAAGTGCTTGATATCATTTATAAATAACCTAACAATGGACCTGCATTAAAAAAAATCAAAAATCTCTTTATTCCTTGATCCAGGCCACACTGAGACACATCCTAATGCTGCTGAAAGATCCAGCTTCCCACTACCTGAGCTTCAGTTTCTCAATTTAGCAAACAACAAGGTGTGTTGGATCAATTGCTCTAATATAACAAATAAAACCCCTTTTTAAAATCAGCTAACATGTCTCATCAGTGTTTCTTCGTCAGATTTCGGAGGAGGAAGCGCTGATGACGGTCGCTCTTTTCCCGATGCTTCGAGAAATTGACATTCACTCCAACCCTCTGACCACACAGAGGAGCGGTAAGGCTTCTCTCCTCCTGTAAGAGTATTTTTTGGAATATTCAATGTTAAAATTGTCTTTACGTCTTTCTTGGACACAGGAGATCCTCCCTTACTGACCTATTACCTCAAAGCGAAACTGGGGATTAGGATAATACGCAAAAATACCCAAGAGGCATTGAAGCTCTCACTGAAGGTGTCCACTGACCCTAAATGGAAGGTAACATCTGTTCTGCTTCGATGTTTGATTGTGACCGACCAGCCAGAGTCACTTCATTTGGGGACATCTTTGCGTCACAGTTCATAGAAAGACCCCCCAAAGTGTCGAAGAAGCCCCTGTTGATGGAGGCACCCTGTCCCACCCAAACTCATGTGGAGAAAAGTGAGTCGACTGCAGAGAAAACACCAGAATCTGAGAGCGGGAATAGCAGAGACGACACCTTCCAAGAAAGCACAGAGCACTTCTTTGTTACTCAGGTATGTGCATGTCCAGATTTTGTGTTTTTTAATATTCTACCTCTCTGCAAATAGGCTCTCAGAGTGTTATTTCATGTTCAGGCAACACAAGTTCCTGAATTTGAGTGTGATCTTCAAGCTGATGAAAAAGAGATTTCAGCGATCAAAGCCGATACCATTCCTGAAAGATTCTACGAAATGTTGATGGACACAAAACCGAATCCCGATGTGGTGGAGCCTGTCGGTGAGGGCTGCACTTTCTCCTGTGGCTGTTTATTTTTGTACATTTTTCTAAAGCCTTTAAACGTTTGGCTATACAATTCCCCCATAGTTTAGGGGAATATTCATGTTTTCTTTCTTCTTTCAACAGGAATTCAAACAGCTGTTCGGATGCTGGAACACAAACTGAAGAATCTGAATGTTTACAGAGACTCAAAACCAAAACTTGATAGCATCCAGATGCCTTACAGCAAAAGAGAGAAAAGGGTCTCATATATTGCATTCACCCTCAATATTACTGTCAAATTGAAGTAAAGGCAGCCAGGGCTATAAAGAATAAAATACATTGTTATCACCTTTTTGTCCTGACTTTTAAATCTGTTCACAGATTAAGGAACTTCCGCCATTGAAGCCGATAAAGCAGCCAACTGAAAGGGTGGATAAACTGATAAAGGAAATGAAGGAGAGTACAACGATCAGAGAAGTCCCCTTAAGTACGAATATTTCTGATACAGTGAATGTCCGCTAACTCTACATGTCATGACCTTTCTCTATATAACACTCTGTTCTCTGCAGGCAGGGCCATACACGGCACCGGTGTTAACAAGCAGGAGCAAAAGGAAGCTCTGTCGCTGCTGAGGGACATTAAGACAAAGCACAAGATGGTCCATAAGAAAACAATGGAGCGAGCAGCCAGCATAGAGTCTGAGAGAAACACCAACCAAAACGGAGCTGAACCCCCACCTGTACAGATTCTCTAATACATATTCAACCATCAGATTAACTGTGAATTTCTTTCTTCCTTTGATAACATTTCCTTGATGTTGACATACAACTGGTGTGAATGGAATGAGTGAGAAAACCAACCTTGTGTGAAATTGTAAGTGCTTTCATATCGCTTTGCCTTTATTAAGATTGATTGCTCATAGCAAAGATGAAACTGAGAAGCAAGGTGGAAAAAAACATTTTCTAAGTCTGATATAAACAGTTTTCTGTCTTGTGTTTAGACTTAAAAAGGACATGTCATGCTCATTTTCAGGTTCATATTTGTATGTTGTTCCTCTACTGTGACATGTTTACATGCTTTAATGTTCAAAAAGCTCTTTATTTGTCTAGCCTTTGCAGACCATGTACATGCACAAAAACCATTATAACAGGAAAGGAGACCCCCAAAAAGCATAATGGGGCCTCTTTAAGTGGGAAAAAAGGTTTTGAAGGAAAATTAAATGTTTCATCTGTGAAACAGATTGGGGAGAAATGTGCCTTTTATGTGCCGTTTCATTTACTTAACTTATTAACACACGTAACAGCCAAAAGTAGATTTTCTTCAGCTGTTTACACATTAAAGTTACTCAGAAGAGCCATTCCTCCTGCTGTTATGTCATAAACCACGAGTAGAAAACTATTTAGAGAAAATCCTGATGCAGTTTTTCTCTAAAAACTATTTTAAAGAGAAAATGTAACAGGAGACTATATATTTTTACTTGCCTTCCAGGTCTTGTGTATTTAATACTGTAGGCAAAAGTTTATTTTCAACAACAAACCTATTGTCTATAGCTAGCAAGGGATCCTTATGTAGAATCCTTTTGTTGGATCTTAGCTGTGAACATCTGTATTGAGCAGGAACAAGAATATTTTGTTGTTTGTAATCTAAACAGACCTCTTCAGTTCAATATCTTTCAATATCAAATATCTTAGTAACCCTATGATTGAAAGGTCATGTGTGACATCTCCTGCAGGCTTACAATAAAAACGTCATTTATTTCTGGTCATGTTCTGTTCGTTCCCCTTGTGACTTCCCAGCCTCCTCTTATATATGATTTAAATTCTGCAGAGCAGCTTGCAGATGTGGAATGCAGCTTCAGCTCAGGTGGAATAAATCAATACGCACTCTGCAGATATTTCATGGGAATATACATTATCATATTCATGTCTGCTTGTTTTCCTGCTGCTGGTGAATATCATATATAATGCATAGCAAGAAAATGGCTTTGTGTACGCAGCCAGCAGATACTTTATCTAGATTCTAGGCTGTCAACCGGTGATATGCAATTTACATTTTAAAGATTTGTTCTCCAAACATTTTTGCAATATCTTTTCTTTTCTGTTTTTATCTTCTCCTTTTGAAAGACTTCATATTTCATCTGCATCAATTACCAAATTATTTGCTTATCATTTTTCCAAATAACTAACCAGATTAAAACAAATGGCCAGGCTTCTGATGACACAAATAAAACTGAAAGCAGTAACTTTGTTAAGATGGAATTTGGTTTCTTATGTTAGGTTACCAAAAGAGGACCCTAAACAATCCGAAATATTAGAAGTAAAAAATGACAACAACATATTTGATCTAAGAGTACGGTGAAATTTGACACAGAACAGTGTTTATTTGGTAAATAATTTCATTTTTACATTTAAAGACAATCTCCTGAACCAGCCACACATAGCCTTCAGTCTGTGGGTCTGGTTGGGATGTTTTCATCCCAGTGGACCTATCATGCTATATTTGAATAATATATTGTAGGGCCATACCTATACAAAACATGTCTGTGAAGTTTTTTTTTCAAAATACCAAACAGATCATGCATTTTAGCCATGCCTCATTTCACTCTATTTGCTCTTTTCCAGCCCTGTTTTTGCAAGGGCTGATTCTGTGAGAAGTCTTCTTCGCTGCTTTTGTGGCAGACTACAGCGCCACTTATAGGCCTGGCATATGTACTACAGCGTCTCCAGCGCTTTCGAGCGGCAATGGCCGTGGCCGTGGCCCAACCCCCCATTCCCCTGATAGGTGGAGAGTTGCCCATATAGGCGGAGGTCCCTGTTTCTGACGTCAGAACAATTTCAAATCTGTATCAGATCCGTTGCAGCCCCGTTTTTAGAGATTTGGGTATGGAGGAAAATAGAGAGGGTTGTGTTTTCTGACACTTGGTGAGTTTCCTGGAACACCGGGGACACATATTCATGTATAAAAGACGTGCAAAAGTGCATTTTGCATGATAGGTCCCCTTCAAATATGATGAATGGTGATGAGGACAATGTGCCAAATGACAAAGAATAGACACGCTGCAGAAATACAACTTTCAAGCTCTACACAGCAGAGCTTATCTGTGTTACAAAAATAACCCACAGTGCTAAAAACATATGATGCTTAATGTAATTGCACATTTATTTTTCTCATAATAGCTGTATTTTTTATGCTGCATACAGGCTCAAGTGCAACTCAAGACTATTCAAGCCAAGTCAAATTCCCTTCTTCTTAGACTTGTTGTTGCTGTCAGTGACATAATGGAGTTGTTCTCCAGCCAGTGAGTCCTGCCATTGTTTTTCCTGACAAATCTGCTGTTACTAAGTCATTTTAAAGTGATAATTCAATACTTCAGGTTGCATAAGTGCAGTGTCATTCAGCACTTACATCATTCTAGAAGAAAATAGCCTTTTGTTTTCAAAGTTTCATACAAGTGAGTTTTCCTCAGTTTTGGGCAATGATCGGTCACAGGAACGGCTGTTATATTTCAGAAGGGACTCACTGACTTCAGCACAGACTCATAAAACTTGTTAAAAAAAAATCTGAAACCATTTTTCCTAACACAAACACGAGATGGTGATAACAGTGTTTGGATGAATACCTTTCTGGTTCTGTCACCAGCTATGTTGTGATAAATAAACCTTGTTTTGTAGCTTGTGGTTGTTGCTCTCCCTCCCATAGTTACATTTTCTGTGTCATTTCTATACATAATGAATACCAGTTGATCATTTGTTTGAACTATAAAGTAATCAAACAAAATGTGGGTTCTTAGCTTGCATTATCTTTTAATGCATCACATTACTCCTGGTCACAAAAGCTCACCTCTACTTTTGTCCTCTTCTCTTCAACCCTGCAATTATTCGGCATTAGGAGAAAAGACTGTATAGTGAATTAAAAATAATCCACAACAACAACAACAACAACAACATGCTTCCCTTTTCAGTCTTACCGGGGATGAGGTGATCATCTTTAAACACCGAAGGAGCCATTTGTGTTTATTGTTGGCATGTTATATTATTTTGTTTAGATTTTTCATGTAACATTTGGTGAAGATGACAAGCTGCACGGGGGTGTATAAATAGGGTCTGGTATTGTACAACCGCTTGATAAACATCCAGCTAAACTTCATCCAACGACAGGAAAATCATATTTTTTTAAGATTGCCTTTACGACTTTCCTGTGTATTAATGGCAACTGCAACGAGGATATTGAGACATGTAAATTGCCATTATAAACACCATTTTTAAAGCTGGACTCCAGTGCTTGTGTATTGCACTTTCATTACGTTGGGGGACTCAAAAGAGACTACAAGATCGAAGCAGGAGAGACAGAAATATCCTGACTTTAACTCCCTTTTGTCCTACACTTTCCACAATGCAACTTCCATGAGAATGTTTCTGTGTTGCGGTTTTGTAGTTATGTTTTCATTTTCCACCTTTGTTTTGAAATGTTTTCCTCCTTGGCCCGTTCTCATGTCTTCAAATGTCCCTCCTCGACTCCCCTCCTCGACTCCTATCCTCGAGACTTAGTCCCGCCCACAGGAGATGCGAGCGGAGGAGCCGAGGAGGACCGTGGAGGACCCATCAGTGTATCCTCGGTTATAGCTCCTCCAGAGAGCCTCCTCGACGCTCGATGCTCGGTCCTCGATGTGCATTTCGAGAAATGAGATGTCCTTCAACATGGCGCGCTAAAATTCATTTCCGGGTCACTACCGGAGGACCGAGGAGTCGAGGAGTCGAGGAGGGACATTTGATGACATGAGAAAGGGCCCTTGTGTCTTCTCTGTTCCTTCTTCCTGTGTTTGCCTTCCTGTCGTTAGTTTCCCTGGTGTGTCTGATTGTGTTCACCTGTTGCCCTTGTGTTTCTGCCTCCCTTACCCCAGCTGTGTCTTGTCTTGTGATTACCCCTCTCTGTATTTAGTCTTGTCTTCCCCTGTGTGCCTTGTCGGTTCATTGTTTGTTTTTCCTGTCTCCCTCCATGTTGGTCACGATCGTTTTTGGTATTGTATCTTCCTCGTGTTACCTATGTGTTTCATGCCATGTTATTTACGTTCATCAGCTTTTTTATTAAAGCTCACTTTTGTTTTGAAACCCGCTTCCCTTTTAATCTGCATTTGGGTCCTACCTTTTGCCGAACCTTAACATTCTGTCTGTTATCATATTCCGACTTTAGACGTCAAGACTGCAACACAGTCCTACATGTTATGACTATGAAGTCTCTATATCCAAGCCAATATATCCCTGAGGATATCACTGTTTCATAATTTGTTCTGACTTGATGATGTTGTACAACCATTTACATTAAGTTATGTGAACTCTAATAGTAAAGCGGAGGTATACTCCTTAACTGTTACTTTGATTAACTTTTTTAAATGTAACAATGTGACGTTCTTGCTATTCAAGCAGAAATCTTGCCTACTGATATTTTTGAACTTATAGATTTCAAGCATGTTAAACAAATGAAAACAGTCTACTGATGTGACAAATCTCTTCAAGACTGACGATTATTTCACAATCCACACATGGCTGCAATTAGTTTCCTACAAATATGTTCATATTCCAGAGATGTCATTGAAATGATCACAAGGTTCATTCTAGAGTGAAGCCAATAGATACATATCTAATATTATTTGTACTGGACCCTTCCTCACAATAACATCAAAGCAGAATAAACAGCCAAAAAGGCTCTGTTGTGTTTTTCCCATGTAACCTCTTTTGTTCTTGGAATAAAAAACTGATGAGGTGAGTTATTAACTGAAAACACATTTTCATGCTCTCAGTGATATACAAACTCTGGCAGGAGAGGAGAGATACCCTGTCCAAGAGGGGAAACAAGGAGAAAGAGATGAGGAGAAGGCATAGATGGTCTTCTATGTTAGGCAAGACGGATTGTTGTTTATAAGGTTGGTTTCTTTGTGTACGTATATTTCAACGCAGCACATTCTCACATCTGGAGCAGTCATCGCTACAATAAAGCCTTTAGAAATGTTTGGTTAAGATGTGTTAGACTCTCAAAATGAGGGCAAACTGTTAAGCCTGGATAAAAACCCTGTGGAGGCTCAGGCATCACATTTGGCTCAGGAAAAAATAGGCCTGAATCAACACTCCTCATTAATCAGTGCCAAAGAGTTCACTGCGGACCGGACCTATTCATTAGTTGTTTGTGATGGGACAATTGAACTGTAACACACTTATCATGTAATCCTGGAAAGGGCTTGAATAATGTGGATGGCATCTGAAAGCGAGGACATTATTAGTTACAGATCATAACCGTTGTTGTTTCATCCCGTGAAACAACAGATCTCACTGTGGTCTGTCTTTACAGTCACTACGAGCATGTGTTGTGAACACTAAACTGAGAGTAGGTGACCAAGTTTTTAATGACATGTATGCTTGTGTTGTCCATGTTCTTTTGGCCTGACTCCAATCTTTGTCTAAAAGGATCAAGGCCAACTTAATTAATTAGAGTGTGAGGGTGTAAAAAACGAGTTTTCTTTATAGATTTCGGAAGCATTTTCATGAACTATAAACTCAGGGGTTATGCTGGGCGCCTTAATCAGTTATGAAAGCAAAACATCTATCAGACTTAATTAACTTAACACAGCTTGGCTCCCTTTGAATCAAAAGACCGCCTGATTTATTTGCGATGCTTCAGTTCCTCTCAAACACAGTATGCATTAGAGACCTGTTGCAGCACATTAAACATTAATGTATTCAATATTTTGGAATCAGTTCAACTCAGCCGCTTCCTAATACAGTGTGGTTACCACAAAGTAGAACGTAAAGCTGTTGGGAAATCCTTTAAAGGGGCCGCATTAGGCTCATTTTCAGGTTATATGTGTATGTAGTGTCTCTCCTGTGACATGTCTCCATGATTTAATGTTCAAAAAGCTCTTTATTTGTCTCATACTGCCTGTGCTGCAGCACCTCTTTTCACCCTCTGACTGAAACCAGAGTCCAGTCTGCTCTGATTGGTTAGCTGGCTGGCTCTGTTCTGATTGGTCAACCGTTAAGAGATGTCCCGCCCCATAGCCCCCCATGTGTTGGAGCGCTAGCCAATAGCAGCACCAGTGTTACATAGTGATGTCACTAAGTAAACTAAGTAGGCTTTTAAGGCGGGGGGGGGGGGGGGGGCACAGGGATTTTAGTCCCTGCAGACCACTTACATCCACAACAAGCTACATAACACACTACAGGAAAGGGAAAACCCCAAAAAGCACAATGGGCCTATTTAACACCTAATATAAATCTTTCCTGTGACATGCATGGATGATGTTCTGCGACGTATAAAACAAGATGTGTTAATATCACAACAATGGCTCAGACGCGTCTCAGATACTGGGCAGAGTCATGACCCCGAGTCTCACATTTTATTTCTCACTGAACCTGGGTTACAGGGTGGGGTACACACACACACACACACACACACACACACACACACACACACACACACACACACACACACACACACACACACACACAGAGCTGACCGACTGCATGATGATTTATAACTACTGACTGCCCCCAGCTGTTACAATTGTTGGAGCCAAGACTAAGCATGCATAGCTGAATTGGCCCATGAGACAAATTCAAACATCCACAAAATGAGGACTGATAGGATTTCCATCAAAATAGAAAAAGTCATAAGGAAATATGCAGCGCAGAATGCAGCATGTTTGCTGAAAATCAGTCTTGTTTTAAATCTGGACACTGGACACTCATCATTAAATGACCTGCATGGGAAAAGGGCAACGAGAACATTTTAATTCAAGTTGGCAGCAATAAAGTAGAACAGACCTTTCTCACCCTTTTTGACGTGATTATCCGCTTTGAACTAGAGAGGCTGTAATAGACTGCCAGGCCCACCAGTTTACACAGAAATATGACAGCCTTTTTGTGAGAGTAATGAAGGCGTACAAGGGTAGTGCGTCCGTTTCAAAATATTGTTTCATGCTTTTAGTGAGAGAGCGAGAGCTGTCTGGCGCTAAGTGTGAAAGAAACACAATGAGTCATTGTGAAGGGGAGGGGACAGGGAGAGCACGTCGGGAGGTCACAGAGAAGGGAAGCAATATTAATCTGAAGCCCACTCAGTCTACACAAATCTGCAGTTGCACTCTGGCTGAGTCATGGGAACCGCATGTGATAATTTGACACCTGTTGACCAAACAGGCCTCCGGACAGACTGCACACTGTGCTGCTCGGGAAAAGGACTCATAATAATCATGCTTACATAATTATTTCCATGACATTGTCTCGTATTATTTAACGTATAGCTACAATGACAATGTGTAAAAGGGTAAAGTTGTAAAAACAAAAACAACAACTCCAAAATCAGGCACACAGTGGTAGCCACATATCAAACACAAGGTACCCTGCCATAAGATAATACACTAATCGTTAGTGTATTTTGTGTCTGTTGATTGTGTATATATAGGTATATACATATTTTTATATATTTATATTTTTGTAATCGGGATTGTGGGAAATGATATTTCGATCTCTGTCTGTTTACACAAACTGAAATATTGACAATAAAGTTGACTTTGACTTAGATTTTCTTAAACGGGGACAATAATTAGCAAACATTGTAATCATATATTGTATTGAAGAGGACTTAACAGAAGCCATTGATTCAATAAACTCATAAATATATATTGAGGTAATAAATCAAGTGAGAAGTCATGTTATTTTCTCATGGACTTCTATGCATCTATCACGTCTCTTTCTGCATCTATTCCCTTCTAGAAATGATAGAGGTTTAGGGTTGATATTGGGAAAATATTATGTGTGTTTGTGTTTGAGTTTGGTGGGTGTGGGAGGTGAAGAAGGTTCGAACTGCTGCTTTTGATTTTCATGTCTCTGATAACATTTCATCTCCAGCTGGAAAACAGTTTAGAACCGCTCTGCTGCCGACCATAAATGAATCAGCACATAGTTTTGAAGCAACGCCTTCAAAGACAACTCTGAGCTCTATAAGCCATGTCTTAAATGATGACTGTGTTGGACTTCAATTATTCTACTATATATAGACACCATAAAGCAATCACACAACAATTATGACTTGTGTAAAACACTGAATAACTTTATGGGTTAAAATTGTAAGCAGATGTACAGAGTGCATTCAGCTATATCGAATATGACCACTTTAAAAAAAGAAATATTTCTGGTATGTGGATTGGTAAGTCATTAGTGTATAATAACAAACCAAATCCTGTGGCTGCATAAAAATAGCTACACAATGTTTTCATTTTCACATCAGAAGGATTAGGAAAAGGCTGTTTTCTCGCTCAAAAACAAACAGCTTCGGCACAGCCCTGTATTGGCTGACAGATCAAACCCTAATAAAATGACTCTGGATGCAAAGAAATGTAAATGTATATACAAAAAGCATTCAAAAAACCATACATTTTAAATAAGTTGACAAAGCTCTGTTTGTATTAACAATAAATATGTTGATAATCATATAACAGCCTTAGAAAACCTTTACATTTTGAACAGATGCCTAAAATGTTCTCAAATACAAATCATTTTCATAGCAAAGAGTATGTTTGAGAAATGCTGATCCCCAAAGGTCCTCAATCATCCAAAAGATTCACACTGAGGGCGTCTCCTGCTCTAAACTCTGATCTCTATACTCCACAAAACATAACCACATTTTAATCAAGAAAGCTGTCAGAACTATCTGCCAGTTGTGTTTTGTAACCTAATGAGTTACATATAAAATATGTGTGATGGTTAAAAACACGAAAAACAAGATTGTAATTTTGAAATTCCACTTGTAATACAGGAATGACGCAGGACATGTCAACATGTATGAATAAAGTATTTACTGTATGATATCCATGTAGTTATTGGTCGATACAAGGAGTGTCACGGGAGTAAAACAACCTTCAGGGTGAGCATACGTCTTCTGTCTGCTTGGGATTTAAGAAAGTCACCATCTCCCGAATGCCGTCTTCACAGATTGTCGTCTGAGGAGCTGTACTCAAATGTTCTCCCTCCTCTTTAAACTTTTTCCACGTCTCTGAAAAACAAACCGGAATTCACATTAATCTGTCAAACCAAAATAGGTCGTTTTGCGAAATAAAAAAAAGGCATAGAACAAACCTTCATTAAGTGTTGTCAGTAATGTGTAATTTCCTGGATTATCCACAATATTTTTTCTTTCAACGTCACCAATATCCATTAGTTCTAAGACACCTGTATAAAGGAAGAATTCAGATGAGAAACATTTAAAAGTGTTACATTTCTTAGAAGAAAGACATGGACAACAACGTGGGAGTAACCGATATTCAAAAGGTAGCCAAGGTTGCTTTATTGTCTATCTTACTCTAAATGGGACCATCATTTCTTAAACAAACACCATGCTCTATTGAAGCTTGAATTAGCAAAAGAGACTACAAGCTCATCAGGAAATGGTTAACGGAGATGATAAATAAAGTGAGAAGTTGGGTCATTTTCTCATAGACTTCTATACAATCAGACTTCTTATATGCAAACATTGCAACGCCCCCTGCTAGCTATCAGGGGGAAAAAAGGCAGGTTCAAGGCATCTTCACATAGGCTTTATTTTTTTCATCTTTCTATGAGAAAGACTGCCTGCTGGCTTCCTAGTGGTCAGAGTGCTTTCAATGCTCTCTCATCCAACAAAAGTGTAAAACTATTCCTTTGATATTGTTCCCACTAGCAGATACAGTACCTTCTACAGTCTTCCATACTTGCACTTCGACCTCAGCAGTACTTTGTTTTTCAACAGCAATGATCCTGACCGTGTCGGGTGGGTCCACTTTCATCGATGAGTCCACTTTATACACTAAGACGTTGCTCTTATGTCCAGTATAACACTGGGTCTGGTTACGTTCAGTTCTACGTTCTAAAGCAACAAAAACAGACACAAGTTATGTTGATGGTGTTCTAATCAACATCATGTCAGTGTAAACACTTCATTATGTTATGAGTCGTGTTTGTCTACCTGGACAAGTCTTGCAGCACTTTCCCACTGATTTCATAGGATGTTGGCATGGGTACTGGCTGGGACAAGTGATGCGTTTGCAGTCCTGGACGCCATCAGTACAAGTGCACAGGATGCATTCCAGGACCTTACCCAAAACGGGGTGCCACATGTCTCCATGAGAGTACGTCTTGCCATTGTAGGAACACGCTGAGAGAAATGGGAAACAGCTGAGGGTTGCACTGCATATGGAAGCGATCGTAAAGTTGTAAGGAACATGGCTATAAAATCAAATACCTATACTGGATCGTTTTGTTAGGACCAAGTCTCACCTCTATGGTGTTTCCTCGGCAACAAAATCTTCACGGTGGTCTCTGAAGCCCCTTTGAGGTTGAGTCTAGCGAAGCCTCGGGGAGCAGCCCTGACCCTGGAGGGAGTGGCACGGTCGAACCGCACCCTGCCCGGCTCTCCAGAACACTGATCCACTGAATGCCTCTTTGATTCAAACAGATAGAACAAAACACAGTTATCTTTCATCTACTCAGCCCTTGGCTTTCCTGGCTTTCTCCATGAGTGATAGCTAAAGGAGCATCACATTTAGTTCATTCATCATAAAAGTTTATATCCTGGCTCCAGATCTCTGAAACACGGCCCATATCTCAGATTTGTTTCAGCACTTTGAATAGAACACGATGTAATTCAAACCTTTTTATCAGGCCAAGGGGATCTTAAGGGGAAATCTTTTGAACAGCCTTCTCTTCAAAAATCACAGCAAAATTGATTATTCAGAAATGATTTGACTAATTGTATCCCCCCCCACTTTCCCACAGAGGTCATAGGTCAGTGTGAGCATGCAGGCACCTCAGTGTTGTGTTCAAGGACACTTCAATTAAGGACACTACATTTCAATATATTTCCAAAAATAGGCAAAGACATGTTAGTTTTATGATAAATCAGCTAGAACATACAACGCCTCTGTTCAGTTGCTGGTTTCCCTCCTCAGATGATGAGGACACACTTGTGCCAGTATCTAAAAGACCAAGGAGAAAATAAACAAGTGTGAGGACATTATAATTAACATTGAATATATTTCAATTCAGTTGCTAATTGTCATCGTAACAATATGATCACATCAAGGAGTTTCTTTGTGTTGTGATTTACAGTGGAACAAACTGCATTACGTAGAACATCGTTTTCGATAAGTGGTTTAATTTAAATGTTTTATATTTGTTGACATTTTTTTATTATTATTAATCAGTCATATGCATAGGCTAATACATTTGTTTGTAAAGGTTGGATAAAGAGTAAACCAGTGTGTGAGCTTGGATGAGTTTGAGTACCTTTACACACCAAACAGCAGGTGTCTGGGACTGAGACTGCAGAGGAACAGGTGATTGGTTGGCATGTCTTCAGACCGCAGAAGATATTTCCATTCTGAGAAAAGAAAGGGAGGGAAAATGTCGTACTTTGTATATTATATAAGTCCAGAGGCCAAGTCTAAAGTACTGCAAGGTTTCTGCAGGCCTCTCTTGACCTAGTGTCTTCGAGATCCAATGTTTTTTTTAAAACAACTTAGCAAAGACTTAATGAGACATTATATTTATTTAGCTTTTCATGGAAATTGATTAAAACGTAATTTTTCCGCACAAGCAAGGTTCTGTCCAATCAAAAACATGCAGAGAATATCACAGTCATAAGAAAAGCTATGAGGATGTTCCTAAAGACAAATTGCAGAGATTAAAACAATAACATATACACTAATAGATCTATGGCAGGAAAGCATTAGGATAATGGTGATTTGCGGGGAGTCTTTTTGCTAATTATAGTGTTAACAGTTGTCTCCTTGGAAACATCTGTTAACAAACACCACTTACCAACTCAAATGAACTCCTCTCATCATGGGGCTTTTAATGGGGAAACCCCACAGTGAAGTTCATTTACTTATTCTTTCTGATGTTGGCTCTCTAAATTAAAATAGGCATGCATTTTCTTTTGCCAATCACAACCAAGCTTCGCCAACACATGAACCAAAGCAAGATGCCATTACTTGCTACAATATACATTTAATTATACATTTATACTTTCACTGCATAGCAAAGCAGTTATGAGTCCTAGGCAGAGATGCTATCCAGGCATATATGCAAAACGTTTTGAAAAGTCTAAAATATTTCAATGCTTTATATATGAGAAGTTTTAGAATTGGTTAAATAACCATTTAATAAAAGCAAACTTAAAGGCTGTGGTGGAAAACATTGGATATGCTGTTGAAGTGGGAACACAACTAATTACAAGAGGATTTGGGAAACTATATATTAACTATTAATTGGGAATGTATTTTATAGCTAAAATAGGGATATATCTAAATATTCTAAAAAATGTCTGTCAATTTCTTTGTTTGTTTTTTGGTCCATAAAACACACCATAACTTTGCTCTGAACATTAGTATAGTGAATGTTTCACAGATTAGGCTACATGCTTGATTAAAACTTGGATTTCGTAAAAAGACCTTAAATGTCTTGAATACTGCATGCATTTATATACAAGTAGTATATTAGATGCAACTCACAGAGCATGTGCACACGACACACTGGTTGCTCCGTTTGGAGGGGAAGAGGTCGAGCTTGGTGAAGGTCTCCCCCGGCTGATAAACACTCCCGTTGTACCTGCAGGACTTCACTGAAGCTCTCAGCCCTGCAGGGGTCCTGGGCTCATCTGAGGAGGACACACCACACAGGACAGCAGGCCTTAAAGTCACCAGCAGAACTCTAAAGCTCAGATCTGATAGGATCATTAGAGGACGTCTACCTGTGCATCTGGGACAGCACTGCTGAGGCTCAGCTACTGGGTGTTCGCAGGGCAGAGCAGGGCACTTGATCGTTTTGCATTTCACATGGCCTGTCTAAGAGAGAGCAATATATTATAAGAGTTCAAAAGCACATTTAAATCACATACACAGAGTTCTTCACAGTTTTAGTGCAGTATATGTGGTGGAAGTCTTTTAAAAAAACTCAAAACATATTTGTACAATCTAGCCTTTTAGGAAGCAAACTCCTGCTCTCTGCTGCACTTTCTCAATGCATTTTAACCTGTCAGCTGATTGTGTGTTGAATTTGCACTATCCTCCTTTTAATGCACAATTTAATCGTTATACCTTTAATCTAAATGTATTTTTTATGTTTGCTTTATGCTATTTTTAGTTTGTTTTTATATATTTTACTGGTAACTGTATTCTGTGTGATATCAATATTCTGTGAAATGACTATGTGAAGCACTTTGAACTGCACTTATTGTATGAAAGGTGCTATACAAATAAAGATTATTATTATTATATGTAGATGTTTGTATAGGAGTGATATGTAACTGTACAAAGATACCTCTGAGCAGACACAGCGCATGCAGTACATGAATCCAAAGGGCTCCAGATAAGGATGCCAGCTGTCTCCTGGGCTGTATGTCTTGTCTTTGAAAGTGCATACCACCCGAGAACCTGGGTGCCAAAAATGAGCAGGATGAGCTCCATGTGGCAGAAGCGAACATAAAATCAAAAACACTTCGATGTTAACTATCACAATATTTGTCAAAGCCATTTAGTGAAACCCACAATCAGCTCAAAGTGATATAAATCAGAGGAAAACATGGGCCATGATCCCATTTGTCCCATTAAATAAGAGCCCACAGTGACACAGGTGTTACATGACATTTAAATGTTCTGGAAAGTTCCTTATACCGCTTTAGCCTTGTTTTTATCTCATGAAGTCCCCAAGTGACACACCCTGAACAGTCTGGTGGGTCATGGGCCAGGTCATTTGATTTTGTGTTCCCATAACAACATGTCCAAGATGTCCATGTGCCAGACTAATACATGTGACCAAACTAGCTACATTCCAAAAACTTGTTTTTTGTTGATAAAGGTCAAATTCAAGCCATTTAAGAATTAAAATGCTTACATAACATGTCCTTTGTTACATTTAACCTGTTGTGGAAACATGTTTTGATCAAATTGATATGAAACAAATGAGATAAATATCGCTGTGACACTAATGTCACATCGGGACATTAACCTTAAACGTTCACAGTAAACCCGGAGTGACACATATGTCACAATTAGAAATATGATTATGATCTGCTCAGTTAATTTAGCTGGTTCAATGATATTTAGTTAATATATTCTTTATTCTTCAATTCAAAGAATGTTCAAACTATTTTAAACAAAAAAATCATCCTCATTAATTAAGTTATAAATAAGAGTTACTTTACTATTAACGCCCAATGACACTAGGGGGGGTTACTTGTCAGAAATGTGTTCTATGTGGTCTATTTAGTCAACATTATGTTCCCCTTAATTTTCACAAAAGTAGAAATGGGTGCGGGTTCTTATGGGTTAAGATAAACACAAGTTGAATTGTTAGTGGCTTCAGTGACAGTATTATATGCACAAGTTTTACCACAGAACACCAAAGTTATGTTCAGGGCCATAGAGCAAAAATATTCTAAATACAAGTTCAGTTTTGGCTGAGTCAGACCAAACTTTCCTTATCTGAGTCACATTATCATGCTTTTCCTTATGTTAAACCCCTCTGAAGTTTGACCAGGACAGAGTATCAGCTGGGACTTACCTTTCCGGGTTTTCAGCTCTGCATCTGCAAACCAAATGATGAAAAAGAAGAAAAACGTGGACTTCATCTTTTACATGTGCGTGTCTGGGTCTTCACCGCGCAATAAGTCTGTTTGTGCAGGACAGAAACTGCAGGACAGTGTGAGAGAAGGTTACAAAAAAAAACAACTAACTTTTTGGGCTCTTGGTTGATCTCTGGCTCCCCCTGCAGGAGATAACTGGTAGCGCCAGCTCTGCCACAGGGATAACTGAAGAGTGACCACATGAGCCTAAAATAGATCAGATTGGATGGAGTCATAAATACACATGTGGAGGATTTTACGAGCTTTCACTCCAGCATGAGAAGCTATTTCAGACTTTACAATAAGAATAAATTAATCCTCAATATCTAATTTAGTCAAGTAAAAGTATACACATTTTGGCTGCTTAATCTACTTACAACATCCATGGTAAAAAAGTAAAAAAATATTATTAAAAATGCATATTATTTTTGCGATATTATTTTAACTTTGCATTTTATTGGTTTAATCCTTACCAATGTATTTTAATTAAGGAGCTATTTACTGTATATTTCTCAAATAAAACTCATTCTGAAATGTAGTAGTTGAAAGGCCTCGAGTACAGTTCACATTATTAAATGTCAATTAATTGAGTTCCATTGAACCAGTGCCAAATAAAGCTCATAAATGCACACCTCTCTTAGATGCACAGATTAGGCCAGGCAGAAATGAGGGCAACATAAAGACAAAGTTCTTATATTGTTCTCCATTTAATTACACACGAGGGGAATAAAACAGTGCTACCATGTTAAAATAAACAAGATGCCAAGGAACAAACTTTAAGATATCAAACAAAACAGATGTGACCAATGTTCCTACGATGAGTCTGGTACCTCTGCTCCCTGCTGTGATGCCTATTGCAAGCCGTCACCTGGCTTCATAAGAAAACATTTAGTTTGGAGTAACAGCTTAATTCACAGTCAGTGCAGATGCATCAAGACAAAGAACATCTCAGGCGAAATCACAAATGTCTAAAATCCACAAAATATTGGATTTTCTTAAAAGGAGATTCCTCTTGAAATGGAGGAAATGGCATGCGAATGTCCAAATTTACAAAGATCTGAAACAGGTGAAAAAAATAAAAGGGCATTCCGGTTTCCCTTTTAAAAGCCGCACTGGATTTTGGGAACACTGACTGCAGTCATGCTTTGCCTAAAATGTGCATCCGGCCTGGCCATAGCTTAAAATTGTAAATACTTTATTGATAAAAAATGTCACATGGGACTGTAGACGCAAATCTGCATCAAACATCCCAGAAACATTGTTTTAAAATGAAATCCTGTTTTGTCAAAATGTATCGGATCCTATTGTGTGAGAGAAGCTTGACAACTGCGAGAAAGTCCCAAACAAACATTAAAGACTTAAAAAAAATCCAGCTCCTGGATTTAGACTCACCTGAGCATCCTCCACTAAACACAATCTCATGATTTCAACACATTCAGAGTGACATACCGCCTGTAATATAAGTTATACTTTTAAATGTCTGAATTACAAGGTATTGCATTATAGAATGAATCAGAATGGTCACAGACACACTAATGCGCCCACACATCCACACACACACACACACACACACACACACACACACACACACACAAAATGGTAGACATAAACATGGTGGAGTCTCAGGAGCTGCTGCTGGGCGCCCCCGAGTCTTCCTCCTGCTTCTGCCGTTTCTTCGCTCTGATTTGGTCGATGGCTTCCTCTACGGAGCGTTTGTCTCTCTTGTTTGCTGCCGGCACTGGAGGAGAACATTATTTACATGATAAGTCAATTCAGGAGGGGGGAGAAGGACTTAAGTCTAGCCAATTAATGCAGTGATCGGTGTGACAGTATTTACTCACCGCAGCCATAAGCCCTGTTGGCCTCTAGTGTGTGTGCTGCATCTTTGGCAGCCGAGGTGCCGATCAGGTGGACGTACTTGTCCCTGTAGTTGGTGTTAGGACACATTTCAGTTTTCTTTGTCTTACTGGATGCTGTTTCTTCCAACGCGGCCTGTTCCTGCAGTGACAAGGACATAGAAAGAGACTTATTAGGAACATTTTAGGATAATTCAACCACTAATACATGGTTAGATATCATCCAGTCGCCATGTGAAATGCATTCTAGAAGAAACTTGACCATAAAACGCACATTTATTTAACCTCTTGCCTCTCAACCTGCCTCATCAGATTCTACTTGAGTGAATGCATTAACACAGAGATCCTGAGAGGATAATGAGAGTCAAACGCAAATTGTGTATACAACTACAGGAAAGAGGAAAGACAATATGACATGAAAATCTGAAGCAGACCAGTTTAGGCATTTCGAGGCAAGGATGTAATTGTATTTGTTAAGCTCCATTGAAGTGAGGGTCTGTAAAAAAACATAATGCTTCTTTTATTATCATTTCCTTCCCTGTATGCGTGTTGAATTTGTTGAAAATTGCAGCAAACCATCTAAAATAATCTCTTTCAAATAGTATTTTTTTTTACTCATATCAAATTCATACATTTATATGGTGCCGTGTTGAAAGGGATCTGGAAAGGTCCCTCGTAAGATAAGTAACTAGTAAGTTTGATGCTGGTAGTTTTACGTAAGACAGATCAGGTTGCTTATTGGACTTGAGACCTGCATGTTACCATTGCCATCAGATCAGATGTAAGGCTAGACACCACCAGACTCAGAGACAGTTTCATTCCACAGGCAATAAGACTATTAAACACCTGACATTTTTTAAAGACCATCCATAAACATTCATCTGTTTGCATCTTGCTAATTATTGATCTAATATTCCATTTATTTGTATATAGACTCTTCTTGCACTATTTCAATTTTATTTGTATTCTCTTGCACTATGTTATCTGTTTTATTTGTTCCATGTCCTATATATATTCATGTTGCACTGTTGGAGGAGCCTGTGATTTAAGTTTTTCATTGCCATATCTACACTATAGTTAATGTGCACATGACAATAAAGCCTTGAATCTTGAAAAGTGGTCTCCTTACCTTGAGTCTGCGCCGCTGCTCTGCCAGCTTGGGGTCCCATTCCTCTCCATTTCGATAGGCTTCCAGCTCCTCATCTGATGGAGCAAACTCCTGCCACGGCAAAACATGGAAATGAGTCACCTTTCTCCACCTTGTTTTAAAATCAAACACTGACTTGAAAGTAAAGTATTCAGACCTTCTTGAAAAGCATGACGTAACGGCTCTCCTCCTCCTCCCCGAAAGAAAAAGAAGTCAGACCGGCCACCTCTGAAACGTCATGCCTAAGAGACAGGAAGGAATGACAGGCAAACACATGAGGACACTTGTCATGTTTCTTGCATTACGTATTGTAATTATCTGAAGTAATCACTACTTACAATATACTCCTCTCAATCTTCCCCATAGGATTGTATTTCCGTTTCTGTTGTGCACTGTCTTGAATGAATTCTGACACTTCTTTCTCCATCTGAACAAGAGATGGAGAAACAGTCTGTGTCATTTTCGTTTGATAAATACCAACAGCGGTGAATGGGAGCTTTGTACTAGATCTACCCACAGTGGCCACTTTATACAGTCTAATGCAGGATTTAAATTGTAGGCGATGAGTCTTTTTTCATCTTAAATGACTTTCTCCCAATAAAAGCACATCTCTGGGAAACACAAGCTCTAGTCTAAAGTGATTTCATATGTTTCTTTGTGGAGAACCTGAGATCTGTCAATGAGTTGACAAAACTGCATTGATGTTAGCTGACTACAAATTCCATTTACATGACATTCCATTTCATTTAGCTGAACAACATTTCAGAGCAGTAAGCTAATGATCCTGCAAGTACATTAGGTTCATATAAACCAAACCAGTTCAAAGTGTTACATACTTTTTAAATGTATTTTAAATTTCCAAGGTGCAACATCTTATTCCCAGGACAGTGCTTCTTCCCTGGACTTTATAACAGTGAAGCTTTTTGATTATTATGTATGCAAATGGGAAGGACACTTTTCAGTATTACCTAATTATAAACCTATACTTGAATTGACACATTTCAGACCCTGTCAACAAAAACTGAACATTATAAACTCTGTAGAGGTAGATTATGTTTCAGAACAGTTATATTGCACTGTGTCCAATTAGGCTTGTGTAATGTATGTATGGCCTCTGAGTTTGCAATCAATATATATCAGTTGTGACACTCACCTTTTTCCGGAACTCAGCTTTCTTTCTTTTCTCAAGTTCCTCCATCTTCTTGAGTCTTGCTGCTTGCTCTTCAAAAAAAAAGGACATACATTTCAGTTTTCATGGGTTTTGTTTGTGCAGATATAGCAATAAATGTTACCGGTGTAAACACAGATCACAGGTCTGTTGATACTTTTGAAGACTTAAGTTACAAAAAGACTTATCAAGCCTATGTTATCACATCATGCGAAAAATATCTTGTTCTTTTTCAAATGTGTAAATCCTGCAAATTTCTTCTCCACACTACCTCTTTTAAATCTGCACAGCTCTCCACTTTAAATACAGTATATAGTATTTGTCATATGAAAATATTGTTAATTTGTTATAATAGTCTAATAGTTATACATTGTCATTACAGTGCTATTTTTATTTTACTTAGTTTTGCTACATCATTTTGCTGTGTCTTTGTATGCACCACATATACCAAAGCAAATTCCTCGTATGTGTAAACCTACTTGGTAATAAAAAGGATTCTGATATAATGTTTTTTGGCACGCATACTCATAATATTTAGTGGAACAGATTGTCTTTTTTTTTCTCACAATCGTCTTGTGTCCTAACGATAACTGAAAATTAGATTGGTTTGTTCATTTGTAGCAACACACTATTCAGCTTTGCCAAAGTGCTACAATTTGGCTCTGAAGTAGTATTTCATCTGATATCAGCCAACAGGAAAGATAGCAAAATAGATTTAAATGGAGAAAAGTAGCAGTTGTTCTGTAAAAAGTCTATCTGCAGTATCCATACCAATTAACAAATATATGAATCATGAACACATTGCATTTATATTATGCACTTGATTCAACATTTAAAATGATCATAGCTTGAGCTAATAGCATAGCAATTTCTGCAAAGTGGAAGCTGTGGATTTAATGGCAAATAAAAGGTAGATTAAAGGGATCATCGATGAAAATAATAGGATTTAAGGTAAAGCACTAGTGATCAGAAGTAACCTGTTTCTAAGTCAAACCCAGGAGTCTGCAGCATGTAAAACGAGCTGTTTGTTTACAATTCTTTACACGGGTTTGGATTCTGACTTGCGTTGACATCATTTTGATTGTGACAAATGCCTGGAATGAATTAACCGCTTTCAATTCAAAGCTTTACAGTGATTTAGTGTTTCAGAAACCTTAATTTCCCACATCACTAATCCATACTGTGACCTGAGGTCTGCGGGACACGCGGGGCTGCACGTTGAGGCGGTGCTAAAGCAGACCCGGGCCCACGGTGCTTACTGAAGGCTCAACTGGCCAATGGCAGCCCCAGAAATGCTCTCTAGTTTCCACACACATCCGAGTCCCTTTATATCCATATCAACTATTCAAACGGAAGCGATTCGTTATTTAGGCAAAGCATGAGGTACCTCGAGCCTTTCGTCGGCTTTCCTGGTTTCCGACTGTTGGAGGCTTCTCCATCGAGTTTAAGATTGAGCCTAGGAGGTCCGCCATCTTGGAATGATAGGGCACAGCGTTCAGTCTGTTGTTGTTGGCTGCAGCTGTACGGTATGCGCATGCGCAGACAGTGTGGGGTTTTTCTTCGCTGTGTTGAAGAACCGGCGTGTAAAACATCTGTCGCCACGGTCGCCACCCTGTGTATCACAGGCATGTCGCCACCACGTTTTGAAATGGCCAATTTTGTAGCCACCACTTTTAAGTATAACTTATAAATGTTCTGTAAAATAGCGTGCACAAAGAAATATGATAAACAAAGACACTGGTTTAGTGTCAAGATGTGCAATTTGGACATGTTAGTACACTTTTAATAGGAACAACATTTTTGACGCTAATAAACATTTATATCTGGCTCTTGAGGGCTCTGAAGTGAAGTTTACTTTTGCCTCAAATATGTCAATCAAAGTTTATTTATTTAGCCCAATATCACAAATTGTACTTTTGTCTCAGGGGGCTTTACAGTTTATACAGAACATGAATACAGTTTATTGTGTTATGTATTCTTGTAATTATTTCCACATTTCTTTATTTATTCCTGTATTTATTTATTTTTTCTTGTGTTTATTTATTCCTTTATTTATTCCCACATTTATTTATTCATGTATTTATTTACACATTGATTTATTTCTGTTTTTTTTCAAATGTATTTATTCCTGTATTTATGCATTTATTTATTTTGTACTCATGTCATGTTCTGTCCTCCATACCTGTGTGCTCGTTTTGTGCATAAATGTACAAATTCACTCCAAATCACATCACAGCAAGACCTATAGTTGGGCGTTCAATGTATAAAAAACACATACTGTAGGTGGTCCAGAGGTCTATGCATTGGTTATCCATGCAGGTGCTGGAGGTTCAACACCATCTTCTGTCTCCCGGTATGCTGATGTTAAATCTGGAGAGTGACGGCCATGATCAGAGGGTTGTATTACTACAGAGGTGGGATGTAAATAAATACATGAAGGCCTACTGAGGTATACTTTATAGTTCATAATTTACACATCTAAAAAAGATACCAATTGTTAGAGTTCAAGAAGAGGCCAAAAAAATACCTTTTTTAAAGCTTTCTTAAATCTTTTTTTAAATCTCAACAATACTGTAGAGATGAATATGGGCCAACAGAAATAACATGAATTCATAATTTTATAATATATGATGGAAAAGAATTCAGAGGGAAGAGGTATTTTAACTCCACTACATTTATCTGAAAACATCTTTAGTTAGGACACTTTTTATATCACAGTTTATAGGCTATGATCATTTTTTAAATATGCATGTTTTTACCCACGGAAATTACCTAGCAGAACTTAGAGTTGTTAAAGTCAGCTCTACCTCTTTGACATTCAGATGCAACTTCAAGATTACGAATCAGGAATTCAATACAATGACAGATAAATGCAACACTTTGAATAGGACTATTTAATTATTTTTGCTTCTGATACATCCAGGAGGCCTACACATATCTGCTAATAGGCCACTTGTGTATAATAACCTAAATAAGACCTTAAATGCAGGACTTGTTATTTGTTACAGGGCATTTTTCTTCTGCACTTTTGCAGCATACGTGATTACGACAGTAACCTAAAATCAATACATTAATTTGGTGTGGTTGCCAACAGCCCTGTGCTTAATTCTGATGCACAGCCACTGCTCTTCATCCTGGTTTTACCATGCCAATGGATTGGGTCGAAAACAATAATAATGTTGATAATCTGTACTAGAGTGTGTCAGAGACTAAACAAGCAAACGTCTTTACACAAGCACTAGGGGGCATGCTATACAAGTACATGTCAGAGGGTCTATGCCTTGTGTTGTTATTGTTGTGTTAACAATCCTCCCCTGTGTCACTGGAGCAGCGTGTTTTGTGCTGTTTGATTGTAGTTTCACGGGATCAGCAATAACACATGAACTACTGCCATATTCAGATGTGGGCAGAGCAGTGGTGGAACAGAGGGCTGCCCTGAAAACACAGCAGGACAGACAGAATTGTACTGCTTACTGTGTCTAAAGCAAGCAGATACGTTTGTATGTCACACCTAAAACTGAAGGAGTCCTTTTTGGTACAGCCATACAGTAGTATGAAAGTCCAATTTCAAAAACTGGTTCTTTTTTATTTTAGGATGAATAATAAAGATATTTTTGCTCACTTACACAGTCCCATAACAGTATGGCTCTTTGTAAAATGTCCAAAAGTGATCTTACATTCTCAAGACACTTCAGCTGTTTATACTAAGCTGAGTAAGCTGATCAGGCCTCAGACTGCCATCATTCAGAGACACTTTGTTATTGTGATTTGCACAGAGCACGTCGGACTCCTCCCCCGTGGTTGAAATGCTGTATAAATGCAGCATCAGCCTGTCAACAGTGTCTGAAAGCTTATTGGTACCCAAACATGAAGGGATTGAGCTTGGTTCTCCTTGTTCTTCTCCTGATGCTCGCAGTCGGGGAGGGTAAGCAATAAATACACCTGTTTTCATTTAGTGTGAGATCAGATCAACCAATTCATAATATGGCAAATGCTCAAACTTCACTGTGCATATTTGCATGGCTCTAAGGAGAAGTAAAGCAAATAATGAAACAAGTTTTTTTTCAGAATTTATTTTCAACAATTTAAGAACTTGAGAATAATGTGTTTACTGTGATTACAGTTTATGAACAAGTCAATATTCATCAGGATTATCTATTCTTTAATGATTATATACAGGCAATGATCTAGAAATGCAACATATTTGTGACAATAACAACAGAAAATGATGCAGAAATGAACCATATTTATGATTATTTTATGATTATCCGCAGGCAATGATCCAGAAATGCAGTACTGGACTTGTGGGTATAGAGGACTCTGCAGACGGTTCTGTTATGCTCAGGAGTACATCGTTGGTCATCACGGTTGCCCCCGAAGATACAGGTAGACCTGCTACGATCATAAAGAATAACTGTGCAGAACTATTGTAATACTTATAGCTTATTTTTTGCAAAGACTTTTGAAATGATTGTAAGATTAACTTAATTTGCTCTGCACTCATTTCCAGGTGCTGTGCTATGCGGGCTTAGCACCTGCATGCAGCATAATAAGGACTGACATCCCCAGTACATGGGTAGCTGCATCCAGCTGGATCTGATAACCAACAACCTTCTTCTGGACAAACAATCCCTCTCAGACCTCTAACATGCAGTGGGATCTGACAACAAGTGCTTTTGAAGTGGACTTTTTATATTTAGACCTAGATCACTTAGCTATTAGGTGTGCAGGTGCAATCATAAAACTGCTGTTGTTGCTTGAAACTGTGTCTGAAGCGTCCTGTAATCTCACTTTCTTAAACAACCCTGTGTGAACAGCCACATCTACTCTCCGAGATGCCGTGTTGACAATAAATGCATGAAAGAAAATGACTGATGTTTCTCTTTGATTTTTGTCATTCTTTTTGAATTATATTGTCCCAAATATAATTTAAAAAATTGTCTTCACTTTTCATCTGAAAAATACCTTAAATATAGTGCTAACACTAACTCTGCAGCACATTACCCACTTGGACCTAACTTTAGGGATATAACAGCATGAAAAGCAGTGGAGTCTGGCACAGCGCTATACTGACTGGACACAATGATGGTCAAGTGACTGACCCAAATAGCTGTGATGGAATAGAGCTTTTGTGAATGAAGTGTTATGTCTCTTGTCTGTGTTTATGTTATCTCACCATTCTGTCTGACTAGACAACATTGTCTGCAACAGACGGACTACGTCACGACTGCAAAGCAAATTCATTGTTAAATTGTCTGCCTATCTACGATCAAAGGTCAAATATCTTTGTTGGTCATCTCTGGTTTATTTATTTAATAAGGAAGAGACACGACTGTTCGCTGAAAAATCCAATATACTCAGCCTGGTCCTGATAAATTATGAATAACTGACATCTAGGAAGCAACTCAAATTATTGTAACATTTAATTACACATCTGAATGTTGCACCCATTAACATCTGAAGATGGTTGGTGAGCGGTCCGGGCTCGTAGGTGTTAAAGGCATGGATGCTATTTGTAAACATGGGCCGCTGTATTGTGCCCTGCTTTGTCATCTGAGTGGAATCTTTGTGCTATTCAGACAGCGCAGCGTGACCAAACCACAAAGGCATAACACCCCCACAAACCTGTTTACATGAGGCTGTCTGTCTTCACAAAGCTTAAAACACAAAGTTATTACAGGATGGATGTATTTATGAACTGTCACCGCACAGACTAGCGTTACTGAAGAGAAATGAGAGTTAGGGGATGCTGCGGGCGCTTTTTTTCTGAAGCTGACGATAAATCAAATATATATACTAGGCAGCCCTAGTAAGTCCTTATTAGGTCATAGGTGCTTTACCTATGGTCAGCTGTTTAGTATATGTTTCCGACAGGGAACCAATGCCGTTTTCTGAGCTCTTATCAAAACTGCCAGACTCTATTTAAAAAAAACTGTACTTTTTAAATCTAAAAACATGAGGGTTGCTAGTCTAACACTGCCTGATTGTTGTTCTTCTGAGTTCTGGGATTCTGTTCATTCTGAGTCTGAATGAACAGAATCCCAGACACTTCAATAGGGCAACTTTCAATAATGTTTTTACTGTTAGGCAAATGTCAATATGTTTTTGACAAACTGAATGACAATCTAATACTTTAGGCCCAAACTTAATTAATTTCTTTACCTACGCTAACCTGCCATATCTAAATGCCTTCTTGCTTTGGTTATAAGAGTCATTCCTAAGACCTACGATTAGAAGTTTACAGTCTGACCCCAAAACAAGTTTTACAAACCCAGTTCCTCATCTAGAAAAACAAACAACTACCCATTCCGGAAATACGACAAGCCTCGATACTACTCCTACTGTGGTTTTTGGTTTTGCAAATCTTGTTGTCAAGCTAATGGAGGTAACATTTGTTCTAATGTTTTAGGCTCCATTGATCTCTCCCTCTGTGTTGACTGGTCTCCTTCACCCTGACATTGAGGGCCATCTCTTGTGCTGCAGCCACCACCACTATCATCTAT